GTAGTACAACTTGAGTACGCGGAGTATCTGGGGAGCTGGAAGATGAGAACTGGCGACTTGGTAGTAGAACTTTAGTACACGGAGCAATCTGTGGAGCTGGAAGATGAGAACTGGCGACTTTGTAGTACAACTTTACTACGCGGAGGTGACTTTCGAGAGGTGAAGAACTTGCAGAAAACAGGTGTTCCTGCGCTTCAGAAAGACATACAGAGAGAGACACATACACACACAAACATAGATACACACACACAGAGACCCACACACTGCCTCAACACACTCGACTTAACACTTCACACTGAACACTTATAACACACTTAACAGATATCTCGCACTCTGACTTCCTACGTGATGAAAAATGCTTTCGGGCCACTCGTCGTCTAGTTTTCTAGAAAGGGACGTGCGTTCGATCTCTGTCGCGCGGTTGCACGGCCCAGATCTCTGTCGCTCGGTCGTTGAGATGAAGTCATCTCGGCCAGGTTTCACCTGATCTTCCAACCCTTTCATCACATCACATGATGTTCCGAACCGAAGGTTCGGATTCCCAGACACTCCATGGATCTCCATGAGACTGGCATACTATTTATACATGATCCTACATGTACCCTTTTCAACCAAACCTTAAGATGTAAAACGGTGGCCAGCCCCACGAGGTCGTGTGACTGGCTTTGTTCGTCTCGTGTCTGTCCCTCCAAGAACCCCCCAACAAACTCGAGTAACAAAACTAGACAAAACTAGTCCACTGGATTGATTTTCATGATTTTGTTTTATGACGTTAAAGTTAAAACCCAATTCTCGTGTGAAAAAGAGCCGTTCGTCTGGCCCAGCGAACCGCACCGACCGAAAAAAAACGGCGTTGACGTCGACGGGACGACTGTTTTTCGCGCCTTGATGGCGCACCGCTTGCCAGGCCAAAGAGGGGCTCAATTCTTCGCGAGCCCAACCTACCAAGACACAAGACAGGTTGAGAGACCGCTTCACGTTCGGACCCGGGTCTGTGGTACGGATGGGCTGGAAAAAACGGGCTGAAGAACCTCTCCCAACCTACAGAGCCAGCGACTGGTGTGTTTTTACGGTCTTTCCGTGTTTCGTCGACGACCTATAGAGGACCGGTCCGTCGACGACTGGGTGTCGCGCGGTGGGCGGCCGTTCAGGGATGGGCGGGAAGCTCTTCCCCCGCAAATTGGTCTACCCTAAGAATCAAGGACCCTCAAAGGTGAAGGTTTGGTTCGGGTTCCAAACCCCTGCGTTCTGCAGGGTCAAAACCCTCCATAGGAGGGTCCAATGATGCTTAGGGTAGAGAAGCACCGCCTGGCTTGAGGAGCCAGCAAGTCTACTTCCATGATTGGAGTGGAGGGTCAGTGGTCAGAGCTGACTGAACCTGTGAAGGCTGGAAGAAGTGGTGCTGCAAACATCAGTGGCATGTTTTCAGGAACACCCATCACAATGTCCTTTTCCATGCTTTGAGTGGAGAAACAACTTGATTTGCATGCTTTGGGGCGGCTCCTGGATGAACACATCTACATGGCTACTGGACCCGTGCCCAAGCACCACACTTGGATTTTCGCAGCTAAGAGGTGCAAAGAAGAAGAAGAAAAAGAAGAAGAAGAAGAAGAAGAAGAACAACAACAACAACCAACAACCAACAAGCAACAAGCAACAACCAACAAGCAACAAGCAACAACCAACAACCACAACAACAACAACAATCCCAAGAAATAGCTCAACACATCCTTGTACAATCTTGAACCTCCGGTGTGAATCAAAACCACTGAATTCGGAATTCACTTGACACTCTCACGGACGGGTTCCATCGATGGACATGAACAGGTTACGGTGACTCATGGTGACCCTGACCGTACAAATTCAATACGTCGACTGGTAATGTCGAAACAATTACACACACGACATCCATGCGACGATTGTTGTTCTTTTCTTTGGAAGTGCAGTGCGGTTTTGTTGAGAAGTCTGTCATAGTCGGTCGGTCTGCTGCACTGCTGCACCTCAGTTGGAAGATCCAAGAAGCCAACTCTGGGGTTTGAGTTGACTGGTCATCTTTTGAGAGGCTTGACTTTTGGGAATTCACTTTTCATCATGGTCACGTGGGTCTCTGCGAAGCTCCGGTCCCAGATGGTGTGGCTCCCAATTCCCCTTAGAACAGCGGTGCCAAGGTGCCATCTAAGGCGCTTCCCGGTGTGCGGAAGTTCCTGGTGCCATCGGTACTACCCGAGGTGAGAACGATCGGTACTACTCGAGGGCGACGATCGGTACCTTCGTTTCGATTCGGTGGGACGACTGGGTGGGTGGATTTGGCGGGTCCAGTCATACCGAACCTGAGAAGGTACGACTGGAGCCCTATAGGGATAGCGATTCCATGCATTTGAGGGAGTTCATTGGGGTTTGGGCGGATCTTTGCGGTGCTAGACACCGTCTCAGAACAGGAAAGGAACAACACGTGTTGAACAAATGATATGTCTGATACCTTCTGTGCTGGGACAAGTGATGCAAGCTAGCCCCGACTGGAGGCATCACGGAACAAGGAATAATGTTCATTTCCTACAAATTCATCATAGAAACCAAGACTGAATCTTGGAAGATCCTGGGCCCCTTCAAACATATTAATATATAAAATAGTACTCCTTTGCTTCCCCCGACCAGAGACTGCCAGCAGAATTACTGAAGCATCAAACATCTCTATTTAGCTTTCTTCCAGCCCCTTATATATTATGGCAAGATATGGCAAGGCTTAAAGATCAAACATATTTTCCCTAGGGCTCCAACTACCACCTGAGAGCGGTCTAACCTTCTGAGGATATGGTTGGAGTCCTAGGGTTCATTCAATCACCAGCACAATTGAGCACTGCCAAGCTACTAAGGTGCCATGAAACAACCTGCATGTCTGCTTGTGATGCATCAATTTCGTTTGGGGAGCTCCTGTTCTCGAGGGTCTGGGTCACAAAAAACAAACATCGATGAATCGATGAGCCACTTGGAACCGCCAGCACCAGCACTAGCCGGTTCTCCCACCCACCACCCACCCTGCACCCTTCACGTTTCCCTCAAACACCGTCTACCCTTGACCACCGGGGTCTCCCGAGAAGGAACCGCTCCAAGTGGCTGTTCGTCACCTGCGTAATGCAACGGGATGCCCGGCCAAAAGGTGATGATCCTTGACGGCGGCGGTCACGAGGACTTCTTTGTGCGCAGAACGCGCGATCGCACGCGGAACACAGCGCTTGTTTGGGTGAGACGATCTGCTACACAGGAGGCCAGTCAAAGAAACATGGAAGCCTACGTGGCAAACAACAGATCTGGAAGCTATGGCTCTCATGCCAGGACTCATGCCAGGACTTTGCAAGTTGAAGGAAGAACTCACGCATCAAATGGTTTAGTACTCATTCCCCACCAGTCAAGCAGCTTGGTCTTGGCTTAGGGTGGAGGGTAGGTTTCACCTCACACCTGGCTTCAATCTGAACCCCAACCCAGTCCCGTGAAAGTGGACGCCTTTTGTCTCCCAGTTCCCATGGCCACGACCATCTTCTCAACCCGACCTAGCCAGCCAAGTCAACTAAAGCGTCTATTTTTTCCACAAGAGCTTTCAACCTACAACATGATTCGTCTTAACATATCTTCCATCTTCTTAGTCTGTTTCCATTATGTCCATACGCACTTCCACATGTTTCACCTTTCGTTTTTGTTCTCTTGTAAAGCCCCATGTGAAAACACGGTGCCGCAAGCGACCCCACGTTCCGTGCGGGTTCCGAAGCTGCAAGATCTTCCGACGACCACGAGGCGCCGTGTCTCACGGGCAGCGGACGCAGCGAATCCACACGCGGCGGACGCAGCGAGACGGAGGCGCCGTACACAGCTATATAGCGCCCCCAAAAGTGAACCCATTGAAACGACCGAACAACGTTTCCAGTGGCCCAATCCAAGTGGCCCCTCAAGCACCAACCGAACATTCCGAACTTGAACAGGTGGGTCTTCCAGTGGTACTGGTGACTGACCGGTGGTACAAGCGCTTCTTCTAAGCTCTACAGTTGGTTTCTCTATCATGCGTGAAACCAACAAAAGAACAAGCTCCCAGTTCCCTTGAAGGTCATAGGTGGTGTAATCCATGCTCTTGACCTTTTCAAAGAGTTCCTTCTACTTGGGACCATCGCTTCGCTAGCTTGAAACCGGTGGCTTGCACCGGTCCGGCCGCGTCTTCAATGCTTGCGCTGAAACCCGTCCCGTCCACCGTCCCCCGTCCCATCCGAAAGGCCGCCATCACCGGCCATTGGTTTGGCCAAGCGTCACCAGGCAAACAAACAAGTGTTGAGTACCTCGGGTTCTTGCCGTTTCAGCGGCGTCGTTTCAGCACGAGGCAAGCACGGAGGCCAGCATGTTAACAGGTGAACCAGCGGCTGGACGTCACGAGAGAGTTGCGACGTGGTGACGTCCCTTTTGGTATTTCCGACCCCCAGAAAACCACCTCCCAGCTACTATATAGCTGCGCTACTCTAGCTGCTACTACTAGGGCGTATAATTTGCTTTAGGTCTGCGCCATACTGGCGCACTTCAACCACACTATTAAGTAAAATGATTTGTTTTGGGGCTGGACAGTCCCAGAGGGTCTGCTGGGGATACAGAAATCAGCATGGGGAACATGCCTGCACAGGGTTGAAGTAGAGCCTTTGGAGGCATCAAGCGTAGTTTCGAAGATACTCCACCTCCACCAAACAATGGCTGTATTTATGTCAGGATTTCATCCTTGAAAATTAAATGTGCTCTGCCATTGTCTCTAAACTATGACTCTTGTTTGCGTCAGAGAGCCCCGGCGAATTGGGGTCGACTGAGACCAAATTTCACTATCGGTCAGGAACTAATCTCATGAAATACCGGAGTTGATCATACACAAACACTACTCAATGAGGTTTTCAGGACCAGGTTTTACTGGCTCAGACTGGACCTGTAGGGTTTTGTGAAGTTCATAGTAATTCGCGGGGCATGGAATGTCATCAAACATTGGAGAAGCCGCAAGAAAACGACTGTCCTCTACATGGGCCAAGAGTGTTTATCCGTTAATGATCAATCCCTTTTCCACTTCCATGTTCTGAAGGGAAAATAGCTCTCCCTTTTCCTCCCAAACACTCCAATGGTGCTGCACGGACATGGCCAACGGGCCGGCACCACTTTGAACACCAAACGGAATGGCCATCTTTGCGCCGAAGAAGCGCAAAGATTGACGGAATATACCTCTCCCATCCTTCTTTTTAAGGATAGAAAGACCCTCCTATGGAGGGTTTTGACCCTGCATAGCAGGGGTTTGGACCTGAACCAAACCTTCACCTTTGACGGGTCCTTGATTCGAAATAACACCATTCCAACATGGAAGTCCCTGTTCCAACGAACTCAGTTCCTACCACGCCCCTGAGGCAACCACTCGTCATGCTTTGCATCCTCCAGTTGTCGTGGTTGTTGCCTCCGGCGAAAGAGATCTCCGCTCCGACCCGCTCGGACCCCCGAGAGCTGGTTGCGGGGAGCGAAGGTCAGGACACACCGCAGGGAGGTGGCCGATTGACCGAGCAGTTGAGGTTGAGGGTGGTCGAATTTTCTCGGGAAGCCGCTGGGAAGCCAAATGACTGAAGTCTTGGACAGGGAAGTCTTGAGCAGAGGGAAGACATGGGGCGCCATATAGGACTGCCAGTCCCCAAGGGTGGTCGTGTTCTTTGGGAATGCCGCCTCTCGATCGTCTCCTTCGAAATAGTCCCGATCCCACACGAAGAGGAGTGACGACCTGTCTGGGACTTGCAGAAAAAAACAAAAAATCAATGAACATTAACCCTGCAAATTCCACCACCCATATATTGCTATAGTACATATTCCACACACACAAACAGTGTCACGGGTACAAGGATCATCCTGTCTGGGTGTCCAATAGACTACCCTACCCTATACTTCTACGCTGAAAAAGGTCTTCAAACAGGGCACTCATTGGAAGTGTCATGGGTCTGAGTTTGAGTTCCTTCTCCAAATGTCTTCTTGAATGGACTCATCCAACATCTCGACACGAATTCTTCGGTGAACCATGCATACGGAGCGTCAGCGGTTCTGCCCACGTCCACCCGGGTAGTTCGGTCAACTGGAGGTGTTGAAACATGACCGGTGATGACCAAGTCCTCAGATGTTCTCCTTGGATTCAGTTCTTCGTTCAGTTCCTCAGGTGTTCTCCTTGGATTTGCTGAAGTCGGAAACGCTGGGCCAGAGAATCCTGGGGACCTTACCTCACAAAGCAACGTGCTCGGCGAACGCATTGCCGGGGCCACCATGTTTGATACGCATCCAACATCCAGCTTCGTTGGTACGCATCCAATATCCAGAGCCTGGTGTATGATGAGGCGGGTCAGGTTTCACAGAAATCCGAAAACAAACAAACGGTTCGTGGATGTATCTCAGAACTGACCCATGGTGATCACATGTCGGCCAGTGCCCCAATGTCCCGACGCACATCATCGGTCCGAGGCACAAAAGTTCCACATGGCATAGCGCTTCTGGCCTGCAACCTGTGGTTGCACCCCAAAAAAGAGCTCCAAATGGCTCCAAACAAGCAAACGCCACAACAGATTATGCAGCTAACAGGAAGAAGAGGAGTTGTTAGACCCTACGAGGTCTCACTAACCGTGTCAGAGGGTGCTGGTCTTTCACAAATGCCCCAAAAGCACCAAAGCAATCAGACCGGAGTTTCGTTTCTGCATAGGTTTGCTTTGGCCATCCTCCAATGGCCAAGAATATGTTCCAAAACGCCTCCTGGACGTTGCCCAAAGCCCACATCAGAACATGGCAACGTTCGTGCTTTCGACTTGGCAAAGAAAAGGGTCAGGGTCAAAGATATCAGGTACTAGCAACAAAGAACCCAAACATACCAACAGTTCGAACATGAATGGATGGCTAACAACTCATGCCAACGAAACTGGATGGGTCAGGCGGTGCGGGCAGAAACGAGCACAGGTTCCTCCCTCCAACTCCCCACCCAAATCATCAAGAACAACGACGACACCCGGCGAATGACTCCTCTAACTCCCAATCATCCTCGAACACGTCGCCCCCGGTGTCCAACTCCGACCGATGCGTCGGACCGCTGCGATCGAACCGGTGCCAGAGAAGCGGACACGAAGCCGAGCGATCTGAGTCATAGTCGTTATACGACAGCATTGGGAAACTTTGTTTTTGTGCTTGATCCTTTCACCCCATCGTCAGTGTTTCTTCCTTGTATTTTGATTCTGGTAAGTCTCGTCCCACCTCCCTGGGCGCACCTCATCGTAGGTGTCCAGCATGTTCTGCTCCTCTGCATAGGCCAGTCCAAAGCCATCGGCATACCTCGGCGGTCGGCGGAGCCCTGGCACGGCCGACGGAGCCGGATCTCGTCGGCCCATTGGCCTCAGGCAGAGAACGAGACCTTCTTGAGCAGGCTTTAGTTGCTGTTGCTTGGGTTCGCTTGCTTCTAGGATGGCCGGAAGCCGGGAATGGACCAGGTGATGCCCAGCATCACCTGGAGATTCCAGCTAAGCTAGTTGGGTTGATGTATGTTGATGTCAATACCTCTTGTAACTCTATATCTTGGGACTACCCTTATAGCTTACAACGGGTGCATCTAAGGTGCACGGTTGCTAGCCAACCGGGGTTGCTATCCAATCATCTTGGGGTCTGGTCTGTCCTTCCTGCAAACCACAATGAAGACAACTCCAGAACTATTTTGAACTCAACACGATCAGAATAACTGCAAACGGTGTGAACATGGGCAGTCGTGGAATCTTTGACGGATTCAATTTCTTACCCAGTTGGTGCTTTCAACCCACTTGAACAATATGAGTCAGTGGGTTCAATCATCGATATATCCCATGGGAAAGGTTGAAACATACATATTGGAAAATAGACCGTATCCAAAGCCACCACCTATCGTTATCGTCTCAACTGTTTTGTCCACCTAGTTCTCCACTCTCCACGATTCTTCACCGACCCAGCAGTCTACAGGCTCGCATGACTGACCCAGTTGATTTCACACCACGGCCGTGGAAAACGGACACCGAGGAGCTGTGGTTTGCCATAGATGAAGGCTGTGAACATGTACCAGTAGTACGAATAGACCTCAGCTGAAACAAGCAGGTTCTCGACATGTGACATGTCCATGCGGTTCTTGGAGTGGCTGAGAAGTTACTCGAAGGTCGATTGCAACTTTGTATGTGTGAATGAATTGGTTTTAAGATGTTTTAAGGGAACACATCCACAGGAAACCCATGTTTTCACCCCTAAAAACTGTTTCCTCGATCTAGATGTTCAATTGAACCAATTAAACAACAAGAAACAACACGTGGAGACCACTGTGGAGACCTTAAGTGTCTTGAGAAGAGGAGACCTAGGTCTCCACTGTTTTGTGCCGCTCCCCACCCGTGAAAGGTCCCGTAGGTCTCGGTCAGGTGAAGCCGTTCCTTCTCTGTCCAGTGTCATTAACAGTGGGTCCGCGAAGCCATGTATTTTTTATAAGTGCCTTTTTCCTCCGTCTTTGTTCAGTGCAGTGTGTGCTCACCAAAGGAAGTGGTCAAACACCACGTCGTGTGCGCACGGCATGTTCAGCGTGAACAGGCCGTGTTCTTCTCTGCGTGCGACGGCCTTATGTCTGGTGTCCAGAGTGTGGGTGCCGCCGACTCCATTGTCCATCTGACAGGACCTCTCTGGGACAAAATCTCTTGACCATTGACCCCCCATTAACAACCAGCCCCAGATGTTTCATGATGTCACTTCCAAATAGGTACGTGGGAGTCCTTAGGGCAAATGGGGCGAGAACAAAACACACACAAACACATGGTAACACGACCCCGAATGACTCGCATAGGCGTAGGCGTAGTCGTGTAGCATTGTGGTGATTCTGCATCCAATCATGGTGCTTTCTCCGTGTTTTTCGACTTGTAATTCCACCAACATCGCCCCAGGTACGCCTCAAAAAGAAGAGGCTCCGGTCCCCGGCCAGGCGACGATGCCGCCCTTCATGGTCTGAGGCCCTTCGATGAACTGATCGGTGCCGTACCTGCGAGCTCAGGACCGGTCGCGGCGATGATTGGGCTCCAGGTTTTGACCTCGAGCGAATCCTCAGGAGATGGATGAGATGGATGAAACACAAGGTGTTTCTTTACACCCAAGGTGGTTGAAACGTCCTTCCGGAACATGGACTTGGTCTCCAGTCCAGGGGCAAACTCGATGAACACATAATATGAACACGTGAAGCAACAAACTACATAGAATCACTGGACCGAACTGCAATACAACTAGGGCACCTGCGTTGTTTGCACCAACTGGACTACAGTGCCCCACAGCGCAGATAGCCAGAACACAACTGGACAAATGGCATTCATGCGATGATTCAACCATCACACTACTGCCAGACACAAAAGCTCCAAACACATCATGAGAAACTCTGCTGAAGAGGGCCTTCTGCATGAAACCAACAGTGTCCAAAGAAGACATGCTTAGAGCTGAAGCGCTGGTTGGGTAACAATTTGAAATCGGGTAGGCAATGTCCAAACAGAGATATATAAATGGAACCGTTACCAATCACAGTTTGCACACTTTCTGCTACAATGCAGTTCGAATTACGCTCCCCTCAACAATAATGGAAGTAGAACATAGCCCCCAGGAAAAACACGTGTTCCTCTACAGTACCACCTTGCCAACTTCCATGTTTGTCGCACGGGGGGTAGTTACGGCAGATGTTCTAATCACCACCGCACCCCTCAAAAGCCTGTGAGCCTACGCGCCGATGGTACATGGCATGATCTTTCCCACGGCCAGTCATAGTGCTGTAGCGCTCGGGTGTGACGTAGAACTCACCGAAAATGCCTCGGTCCCGACTTACCCTTCAGACCACCAAACTCACACGAGAGTATCAGCGGAGGGTCTTGTGTGAAGTCCTTGCAGCCTTTGCTTGAGACCAACATAATCAACAGGAGCAAACCCAACGTCTTGAAACTCACACTCTTCGATCACAATCAACCAGTTTTTGGTAGCCCGGTAGCCCTTGGGTTGTTTTTGCTCAAAACCCAAGACACAACTGGGGATTGTGGGGTGTTTGCCTCAATCCGTGGGCGCCCCTGCTTTCATCTTGGTTTCCAGGGAATCGTCTCTTAACCTCAACACATTCAAGAACTATGATGCCTCATGGTGGGATTGAGGACCCAAACCCTTAGAACATGTTGACATACAGAGTCCTTGGAATCCAGTATGGTCACCAGAGTGAGGGCATAGTCATGTAGACATCTCAGAACTAGTGGGAGGATCTCCCATCCATCCAGTCGGATTTCAGGACCCAAACCTTCGAATGTCGTTGGTGACACATCGGACACATTCCCAAACACCACCTGTGTGGATCTTTCATCCATTTACCTACCTGGAGCCTGAGTGACCCCTGTTTTGGAGGATCAACTATCCCAAATATGGTCTTTTCCTATCAAAGCAAAGGTCAGTCAGGCTCTAGGTAGTATACATTGAGGTGGTAGAAATTCGAGGTGATTTGAGGGCGGCAGTCCTTGGATCTCTCCCAGGTTGTGGTCGTGTCTGCAGCTCCGGTGATGTTCCGGTTCTCGGTGATCAGAAGAAAACGTCTCCGGTCTTCGAAACACCATGGATACAGCATGGATACCAGGACCATCCTGTCTGGGTGTCCTGGACTACCCTAGACTGCTGTCCGGGATCTCCAGCACCCAGACAGGATGGTGCAGGTAGGAACCTGCAAGACATTTTACCTCGGACATGCGGGCACGTAACTTAGCTACACGCATGGTCATGCTGGCTTTTGTTCTGGTCATGTCCCTTGATTCTGGAGTAATTACGTTACTTCAAGCGGCTTGTTGTTTCTTTGGACAGCTGATCTTTTGATGAACCCCCTCAAGGGAAGCTCTGGCATGCTCTGGCAAGTCCAGCCTCCACGAGACCATCTACTGGGTTCCAGGGAGGGCACTTAAGGCTAGGGCCCCTCCTCTGGCCCCTCTGGCCGCCCAATCGGGACTGGCCGATCTTCGATCAGGTCGGGGGGGGGGTGGAAGACCTTGGGAGTCTTTTTCTGGGGCATCTGAGCTCCAGTTATCATGGATGGTCTGGGTCAAAGTGTATAAAACTTGAAGAAGACTGCCAGGACCTTCTGGAAGAAGGTGTTTATAATATATTAGCCTCGTCTTACGTCTTAAGAGGGGGGTGTTGGTTGGGACACCACCGGGGCGATTTCGGAGGGTTAGCCACTCCCTGATAGGAATCCACTGCTACCGTTCCAAACCTCAGGCTCGGTGACTCCTGGACTCGACTGGCTGGCACCGTCTCATGTCTCAGTTGCTCCTTCATCACCGTACCTGACGAAGGTACTTGCATGGATCCCTATAGAAACTCGCTACATCACAGTGTCTCCTTCATCACCGTACCTCACGAGGTACGAGCTTGGATCCCTAATCTAGAAACTCTCGGGGAAAAAAACACACCAACCGAGCCGAAGAAACACCCGCAGCTACTTGCATCCACTGGCGCCGAAGCTCTTCTTGCCGAGGCCTTTCGCATGGGACTTCCTCAGGCGGGTGGACGTCCACCATCGGATTGTTTCGGAATTCGATCGGGCCCAATTCTGAGGGTCTTTTGCAGAGTTGAGTCTCCCCAAAAAGGACCGCTCTATCGAGCCCCCCATGGGCTTTTGTTCTCCCTTTTTCGTCCGCGCGCCTCCGGGGCGGACGTTCGGATCGATATGGATAGATGCTTCGACATGGAGAAGGTGTGCCGAATCCGAGCTCGGGGCTCTCAGCGGTCGGACCCGACCTCTTTGCAGGGGTCCGGGCCTGAACCAAACCCTATCTGTTGGTTCGGGCCCGGATTCTTACATTCCAAATACATGGGCTCCGCGACCTGTTAATGACACTGGACAGAGAAGGAACGGAACCTCACGGCCGGCTTCTGGTTTCAGATGGTTTCAGGGGTCAACATCCTCGTCGCTCCGACCATCCGCGACCTCTTTCAAGCAGCCAACCACCGCGCCAATGCCAACGTTTTGGTGCCCGCTGGGTCCAGCACCTTTGGTGCTTGCCCCCCGCATGGGTGGAAACACCACCCGCGTGGAACCTGCATGGGCTCCGACCGCCGGGCGGCGAGTGAACTCGGTGCACGGCCCGCCGACGCGTCGCGACGCTGCAAGAGCGGCAGACCATCCAGAGAGGTTGAAAGACCTGAACTGGGAGCCTGCAGTGGTGCAGATGAGGCAACGGGATAGGCTAGATGGCTATATGGCTGGCACTCAAGCGATTGGAGCTCCATCTCGAAGTACGACCGAACTCGCCTGGGCCGCATCACGTGCATCCTGAAAGAGCTTCGTTGGAGAGTTCTCAGCGAAACCGGCCCTGACCCTTTCCAGCTGCTGAACAACGATGGTGCCCACCTGGGCATAGCCCATCATCTCAAATGCTTCCTGTAAAGATGCATGGAAGCTGGAGGCCTTGGGGCCCAGCGCTCCCTGCGTCGGCGACCTCCACACTTGGAAGCGATGGGAGAAGAACTTGTAGCGGGCACCTTCCGAGCGGCGGCGGCTTCAAGTCATGTGCTAAAAGCCTAGCTGAGAGTTTCTTTTTCAACTTTTTTGCAAGTCTGAAGTTTAGCTAGCATCAGTGGCTAGCATAAAGGATTCCCTGACTCTTACTTTACAAAACATTTGGTGGAGCCCCAACATCTGACACTCACAACAGAAACATGTTCGGTGCTGGTGCTTTGATTGCCCCTGTGCTCAAAATATAACCCTTATTTCTGAACCATAGCTCCAAGCCAAGGCACCCATCCACATGCTGTGAGATTGCCGATACAAAGCATCAGAGAAGCCCATGAGCACCTCAACCAGAAAGCGGGTCTTAAGTTCACCTCCACGCAGAGCGATCCTCAGGAAACTGGAAACACGCAACCCAAACAAGACACTTGGGGCTCGCATATTTATACATACATTGGGATTGTTTGAGGGGTCGATGTAGGAAAATATCTATACTTATACTGTAGATCTCCATGTCTGGGTGGGATTCACCCAAGACCAAAACAAAGTAAAACATATAATATATAATTAGATCGCCACCCGAAAACCACAAAACCAAGATAAACCAAGGCTCAAGAAGCCCTCACCGTCATACTCCTGCAAGATGCCAAAGCTGATGTTGTCATACTTCACCACGCCCAGCACGCGCAACCAGGCATCTCCCTTGGCCGAGTTCACCGAGGCCTGGCAACTCAAGCTCGACACCAGCGGTTTGAAACCTCGGATTTGCGGCTTCCAAGCCTTGAACAACTATAAAACATCGAAAACTGTATAAACTGATAGTAAAACATAGTAAAACTATTCCCCAGGTTAGGGGGTATACCCCAGAAACCGGGAAAATCAAGCGATATCACACTGAATTAAGCTAAACCAGGACACCGCCATCGCCGGGTGAAGAAGCATGCGCTGCATGGATGGCTGTCGCAAAGGCGTCGAAGTATTCGATGCTTTGCTCTGGATCCGGGGCAATGGTGCAGTCCTGGTTTGGCTTCATTCAGGTGACTTTCCTGAGGGGGACGTCCTATATATGGAACCATCATAATATGGCGCCGGGACACCCTGGTTTGGCTTCATTCAGTGTGATATCGCTGGATTTTCCCGGCTTCTGGGTCAATCCCATAACCTGGGCAATACTTTTTTCATCTTTTTTCTAGGTTCCTCAAGTAAATCCAAGCAGTCCTCATACCGGAAGACACGGCACCAAGCACGCTCTGCCACCACGTCGTTCACCTCGGTCCTGAAGTTGTCGGGCGAGTTGCGTAGGCGCATGAGGTCTTCGTCTTCCTGGAGTGTTCTCAGCAAAGCAGCATAGTCATCTGCGGAGACCTCAGTCGCAGAGAGCGCTCCAGTTCCAGTACTTTCCATCCAAACAGTTCCCTTGCGCTCCTCGGCATCAGCAGGAACCTGCATGGTGTTTTCACCCATCCATTGGCTTCCAGGTAATGGTGCGTCAGGAGCTTGCCGGAGGTCCAAGTTCACTTGGCCTCGCTTGGCCAAGGTGTCAATGGAATCCTCACCAGAGAGGTTCTGTCCATCTGAAGAGAATTGCATGAACTCCGGAGGCCCTCCAAACGCCTGTGCTATAATTCCCCTGACATCATCGATGCGCTGTCCCTTCTCAATCTCCATGGACATGTTGACCAGTGGATAGCCTCCGCCACGGCTGTCTTGTACCGACAGTTTCAGCACCGCGGCTGAAGTGGAACTTGGCCGCTTCAGTGCTGCAGGCCGCTTCATGGCCGAGGCGGCAGGCCGCTTCATGGCCAATGCAGCAGGTCGTTTCATGGCTGTTTCGCGGCGCGCATGGCACAAAGGGGTACCTAGCAAATCCTTCCAGGCAGAAATCTGAGCGTGATGAATGTGGAAAAGGGAAGACAACTCTCTGTCCGGGGGAACCGGAAGCATAGTGTTGCATATCCTCATACCCTCTGATTCACCGGAAATGGAGATCACCTCCTGTCTGCAAAGGAGGTTCTACTCTTTTCAGGGATCAGTTTAATACTCATTGTCTCATGTTCCGTCGAAGTGCGTCACAATTTAACCTTCTTCTTCATCTTGTTGTGCTCAACAAAAACACCTTTCTCTCCCCCCGTATAGGTCACGTCCCGGTGATTGCATCATGTCCACTAAAAAGGACTCAGAGGCAACATGTGCTCACTCAAAGCTTCCGGTCGATTCGCCGATAGAGGTCACCACAGGTGATTGGCCACCATTGCTTGGCTTTGGACGGGCAAGGGGAGCAGCTGTCACCTCTGGAGCTGGAGACTGACCCCCCACAACCACCCACCTCAGTCCCACCTGGTCGGATGGTGAGACAGGAGCCCAAAACGGTGCTGGGCAGCGGAAGGACGTCTTAGACTATCTCACTCAGCTGTGCTGCGTTTTCGTCGCTTGTTTGCGCCAATGACTTCAGTGTTCAGAAGCTTGTTTGCGCCAGCTTCTGATGGCCAACAGTGTGGTCAATTCTGGAACTTGTGCAGAAATTGACTCCATACCGACTCTACTTCCACATCATGCTTAAAAACCCTTGGCTTTTGTAGCCAGCTGCTTTGCAATCCCTGGGAGAGTAGCCAGCATCCTTGCAATCCTTGGCGGAGAAACCTTCCGCTCGACATACCACCGCCGACAAGCCAGCATTCTTGCAGTCCATGGCGGAGAACCCCACCGCCTTCAGCTGACGACCCGTCTTCTCGTCGCCAGTCTCATAGACGTCGCGGCACTCATCCGGAGGGTACCCGGCGATGCGGCACTGACCGAGAGTGAAGCCTGCCTTGGATGTGCGGCTTTCCTGGACAAAAACCATATAGAAACAGAATAGAAACAGATTCCCCAAGGTTAGGGGATGTACCTAGAAAACCGGGAACATACATAAAAAGAATCACCCTGAATTATAAGCCCAGCCAGGACTGCCCGTTGGCACTCCGCCACACTAAAGCCCAGCTCGCGCACCGCCTCTGCTCCGTAGCTCCGAAGGAGGCAGCGTTGAAAGGCGCGGAAGAAGCGGTTCTCGGGGTTCCTTGGATTTGGAAGGAAGAACAAGTAGACATTCCTGGGGTTCATTACACTCCCTGGAACTAACATGGAAGTGGATGGCCTGGCCCCTTGGAAGACCATTTTCCACTACAAACAGATGGTTTTCCACTTCCATGTTAATTCCTGGGGTTCATTAATTGTTCATAAGGGGCGAACTCATGGATTCACCCATTTTGAATCAATTCCTCAGGTTTCATTAGGACATTCACCGAGTTTTTTGGGGGGCGGGAACGGACAATAGAGATCACCCTATATATGTACACGTCGACGAACACATGGAACTTGGAAGACCACGTTCCTTTACACTTCGAAGTGGTGAACTCCACTTCGATGTGATGTGATTCGGAGTGTTATTACTTGTTCATGAGGGGATTGACAGGGATTCACCCATGTTTTCGGAAGGAAACGATGGGAACACCCGAGACCACCTTCTCTCAGGTCGCCCAGTTCGCCAAGTTTCAACAGGTCGTTGAGCCAGTCCGAGCGCAGCTGGTGGATGGGGTGGAAGAGCTCCGATTCCCCGACGTTCAAACGCTTCAAGACGTCTCGAGAGTCCTCACGGACCAACTCTTGCAAGGTGCGACCCACCTTTCTTGCCTGTACAGGTCCAGGCAGCTGGTCCACCAAGACTTCAAGCGTCAAAGGACTCAAAAGTGCATCCAGCCCTCTCTGAACAGCAGCACTGCGCTGTTCAAACATGTACTTTTGGAAGAAGGGGATCAAGATGCCTTTGCCCACACTGATGATGGCCGAGATTCCAGCGAAACCGATCTTCTTGGGTTGCTGGGACTCAGTAGCGTGAGAGTGTATAGCAAACACCAGAACTACTCCTTAGATCTGCGTGTTAAAAAAACGACATGTGTGGCTCAAAAAACAGTCTGACGCACACATCTCCGCAAGTGAGCTTGTGATGTTCTCGTTTTCAAGTGACCTTTTCTGAGGTGCAGCCAAAATGCGGAAAACACGTTTCTGAAGATGGACCACCCAAATTGATTGGAGTCTGCCAGGCCCAAATTGATGGTGACAAAACATACCAAATTGAGAAAAGACTCCAATGAAGCCCTGTGGCCAATCTTCTGCCCACGCGATGAGCAAGCGGGAGCTACTCAGGAAGTCAACGCACAGATTGCCCAATTGCCGTGCCATCCAGTCACATCGCGTCTCCTCTGGATGGCGAGGTGAATTCACGTTCGATCACCACGCCACAGGAAGAACACTAGGTGCGATGGGTGCGATGGGTAACAAAAAGGGAGCCTCTGAATTCGTTCAACAAATTGACGCAACACGGAACAATCACGGTGGATGGCATGGCCCCCGACAAGATGAGCATCCAAATACCGGTGGTGACATCCACTGGAAATCGCTTGCATGAGTTATTGAAAGAAAGAGTGCAAACCGTATAATCACCCAAAATCGTGGATGAATATGGGGTGTTACCACCAGCATCTTCTCAGTGAAGCCCTGTAGAGTAGTCTCCGTGGCCAGTGGAGCAGCAGGCTTGGCGGGCAGTTCCAGAATTCCTCCGTAGGTCTTCCGCAAATCCTGTGCACAATCGTCGTTCAGGCAAACACGCACGTAGGAGTAGAAGATCACGTAAGTGGAGAGAACCTGCGTCAGAAAATGGTCAACAGATGCTGAAGATTACCCAAACACTAGACCTATGGGACTGGCATATATGCCCACATAACAACCCCTGAAACAACCCCCAAGTTAAATGTAAATATGCCAGTCCCATGGATGGTCTGGGATATATATATATATATGTCTCACCTCGGATTTGCGGCTGGAACCAAGGGAACACATGAAAAACACCGATTCCCAGGAACCTCGGGGAGACCCAAACGAAACGGGAATCAGGTGATCAGGGTGCTTGTTTCTGATAGCAAACCTTGTTCCTAGTAGTAAGGCCAGGAGCCCCTAGTAGCGTCCGATCGCTCCTATAGTAGTAATGCCCTTGTTACTAGTAGCTTCTTGTTCCTAGTAGTAAGGCCAGGAGCCCCTAGTAGCGTCATTGCTCCTAGTAGTAAGGCCAGGAGCCCCTAGTAGCGTCCTTGCTCCTAGTAGTAATGCCCTTGTTACTAGTAGCTTCTTGTTCCTAGTAGTAAGGCCAGGAGCCCCTAGTAGCGTCCTTGCTCCTAGTAGTAATGCCCTTGTTACTAGCAGCTTCTTGTTCCTAGTAGTAAGGCCAGGAACCCCTAGTAGCGTCCTTGCTCCTAGTAGTAATGCCCTTGTTACTAGTAGTTTCTTGTTCCTAGTAGTGAGGCCAGGAGCCCCTAGTAGCGTCCGATCGCTCCTAGTAGTAATGCGCTTATTACTAGTAGCTTCTTGTTCCTAGCAGTAAGGCCCGAGCCCCTAGTAGCGTCCGATCGCTCCTAGTAGCGATGCCCTTTGTTACTAGTAGCTTCTTGTTCCATCACCTGATACGCAAAATCAAGCAAGCCACCCAAGTTCTGTTTTGTCAAGATCCCCCATCCACGAAGTCATCGAAAGCTCAAAGCTGACCCCGATCAACGTTGTAGGGCAAAAAAACTATTTAGTGGGACACCCAATTTCCCCAAAAACATGTTTTGCAGGTTATCCAGATTTCCTGATCTGCTAGCAGCTAGCAAAAACATGGAACACTTTCAGCTCAGAAGCGGTGAGAAGTCCGCCATCTGTCATCCAATGGAAAACGCCTTCCACATAGCCCAGGTAGACGGAACCGACGCGTGGCCACGAGCCCAGGGTCCCAAGCATCGCCAGTGCCAGAAGGAGCAGCGGACGGCGAGGTGCCGCAGAGCAGCCTGGGTGTCGCTGCTCAGATTCGCTCGTTGTGTCTCCCCCAACAAGCAACTCGCTGGCCACGTTGGTGGAAGAAAACGCACACACAAAAAAGAAACAACCTTAAACGACCCCAGACCAAATCTATTTATTGAGGATCTTCTTTTGACTTGAAAAAGTGTGTGCGTGTGTGTGTGTAACCCTTGGAATCATAGGGATCCTTTCGGATTTTTCAGCTGTAATCTTTAGTTCTTACCACAGCAGGGGGATGCCGGGGATTTCCATGGTCGGCATCCAACGAAGACACCATGGACTTCCTGTGATATGAGTCAGGGACGCCTGACTCACGTACCTGCCTTTTCACACGGAATGGCACGAGGCTAAGCCCAGAACCTCAAACTGCAGACATGCACGACACGTCGTCACTTCGACCTGATGGCCGACCTCGATCTTGCGCTTTGGGGCTCCTTTCCTTTTAAGACCTCCAGGATTCGATGGTTTCCTACTGATACTCTTAGGAAATGGAACCCTGGGCCGGCGTGTGGCACCGCATTCAGTTCAGTACACAATATCCTAAGTGTGTTTGGCCTTGTGCCAACCCGGGATGAGCCCGCAGAGTGCCTCCCGTGGACCCGTCGAATGGGTGTACGTCGAACGTATCCACTGCCCGGATACAGAGCAGCTCGCAGCGAGCGTAGGTGGCCTAGGCCGTACGTACGAAGATTTTGGACCCATCTTTGGAATTCTAAGTTGGCTTATGCCTTTACGTGACCGCAGCGGTCAAAGCAGCCAGCCATTTCGGCAAGGCACAAGGTGACCATAGCGGTCGAAGCCAGTTTCTAGGTTCATTGGAACCTGTGGAGAACTTAGCCCCCTTCTCCCCCTGCCCTCCCCCTTTCTTTCCTTGCTTTCTGGGGTTTTCCTGAATGTAATACTCAGGATCTCCCTTTCCTTCTTTGGTGTGTCCCTGGACGATTGTTCGTAGCTGGGAACACCTTCCTTTCTCCCCTCTCCCTTTCTCTCCCTCTCTCTTTCTTTCCTTCTCTTTTTTCCCGAAAGCATTGCGAAGGGTTCTTCCGGAAAATCCCTTGAACACTGACACTTCGACACTTACACTTACACACTGACACTTCCACCACATTCGCACTACATACACTGACACTTCGACACTGACACGTACACATACACACTGACACTCGGCAAGCACGCAGTGTAAGTATACTAGTGATGGGTACGCAAGCATGCTTTGAGCATGCAAGCATGCAATGAGTAGGCAAGTGTGAGTATGGAAAACTAGCACGGGAGATGTCCTAATGAAAAAACATTTCCCCACTTTATAAATTCTCTCTTAAAGGCGGAGGGCGGGACCAACAGCGTCAACCGAAAGTGCAACCCTCTGCGGAGATCGTGCGTGTCGAGTGCGCAAAATGCAGGCGAGACTGCGATTTGTCCGGTCCGCGCGCAACCCTCTGCGGAGATCGTGCGTGTCGAGTCCGCGAAATGCAGGCGAGAGTGCGATTTGCCGGCTGCGCGCGCAACCCTTTGCGGAGATCGTGCGTGTCGAGTGCGCGAAATGCAGGCGAGAGTGCGATTTGCCGGCTGCCCGCGCAACCCTCTGCGGAGATCGTGCGTGTCGAGTGCGCGAAATGCAGGCGAGAGTGCGATGTGCCGGGTGCCCGCGCAACCCTCTGCGGAGATCGTGCGTGTCGAGTGCGCGAAATGCAGGCGAGAGTGCGATTTGGCGGCTGCCCGCGCAACCCTCTGCGGAGATCGCGCGTGTCGAGTGCGCGAAATGCAGGCGAGAGTGCGATTTGCCGGCTGCCCGCGCAACCCTCTGCGGAGATCGTGCGTGCCGAGTGCGCGAAACGCAGGCGAGAGTGCGATTTGGTACGCAACTCTAGTACGCAGAGTAGCTGGGGAGCTGGAAGCTGAGAACTGGCGACGTGGTAGTGCGAGAGTAGTACGCGGAGTAGCTGGGGAGCGGGAAGATGAGAACTGGCGAGTGGGTAGTACAACTTGAGGGCGTGGAGTATCTGGGGAGCTGAAAGATGAGCACTGGCGACTTTGTAGTACAACTTTAGTACGTGGAGTATCTGGCGAGCTGGAAGATGAAAACTGGCGACTTTGTAGTACAACTTTAGTACGCGGAGTATCTGGGGAGCTGGAAGATGAGAACTGGCGACTTTGTAGTACAACTTTAGTACGCGGAGTATCTGGGAAGCTGAAGATGAGAACTGGCGACTTTGTAGTACAACTTTAGTACGCGGAGCAATCTGTGGAGCTGGAAGCTGAGAACTGGCGACATTGTAGTACAACTTTAGTACGCGGAGTCTGCGGAGCTGGAAGATGAGAACTGGCGACTTTGTAGTGCAACTTTAGTACGCGGAGTATACCTGGATCCTCCTTTGGGCGGAAAAAAGTGCCGGACCTCAATCCGGCAAAATGTTCCGCCGGAGTCCGAAAAAAACGCCGGAGACCTGAAAAAACATCCGGATCCAAGATTCTGAAAAACAGAGATGATAAAAGGCTGGATCATACACAAGCAAACTGCCTTTGCGCCACGGTATTTTTTTCTGGAACACACTCATTCCACAACCCAGCACTGGAGCCTTCCCGTTCCCATTGCCCTTGCCCATCTTCCGAATGGCCTAAGAGCAGAACCATCACAAAATATAAGCAAACTTGTGCCCAAGCAAAGACTTCCAAGAAGAAACCAAGGAGTATGTGGCAAGGAACCCCTATTTCTCTGCACCCGTGTCTCTAATTGTTTTTTTTACAAAGTGGCTCTCCATGATTCTTATATGGGTTTAAATTGTTTTTTAAGCTTTCCTCAGGACGGCCAATAAAGTAGCAGCACTCATGGTTCCTGTCGAAACTCTTAGTTGAAAAACTTTTCAAAATTCAAAAGACTGAGTCCAAAAAAATACGCCGGAGTTACGGGGAATTACGCCGGAGTTACGGGAAATTACGCCGGAGTTACGGGAAATTACGCCGGAGTTACGACGTGCAATTTTTCTTAGCAACTCTCTGCAAAACATTGAGATTCTGAACAACACATGTTCCACAGCCCAAAACTTGTCCGGCAGGCTCTGCAAACCTGCGCAACTAGAACTAATTATATCCCAGCGCCCCGACATCCTGAAACAATGGGAGTACATCTTTGCCTATGTTCTTTCAGCTTAGGTACACCCACTTGGGTCTTTCAACACGTGCATCGCACTGTACCAATTTCATCCGATTTCAAGTAGAAGATCACCTAAACGGATCTGATTGATCCAGTGTGAACCATGCTGAAACCGGTGGAATGAGAAAACAGCGGAACAGGCAAACGAGCACACTTTGCAAGCAAATCATTACCTTCAAAGAAATGCAAGCCACAAAGAATGCAAAGCCTTGAGAATCCACATTTCAAGTGACTTGGAAAAACTGCCGGACCAAATCCAGAAAAACGCCGGAGTTGGAAGTCCGGCGCCGGACCCTGTAAAAGTGCCGGACTGAAGATCTAGGTATGGGGAGCTGGAAGATGAGAACTGGCGACTTTGTAGTACAACTTTAGTACACGAAGCAATCTGTGGAGCTGGAAGCTGAGAACTGGCGACTTTGTAGTACAACTTTAGTACGCGGAGTATCTGGGGAGCTGGAAGATGAGAACTGGCGACTTTGTAGTACAACTTTAGTACGCGGAGTATCTGGGGAGCTGGAAGATGAGAACTGGCGACTTTGTAGTACAACTTTAGTACGCGGAGCAATCTGTGGAGCTGGAAGCTGGGAACTGGCGACTTTGTAGTACAACTTGAGCACGCGGAGTCTCTGGGGAGCTGGAAGATGAGAACTGGCAACTTTCTAGTGCAACTTTAGTACGCGGAGCAATCTGTGGAGCTGGAAGCTGGGAACTGGCGACTTTGTAGTACAACTTTAGTACGCGGAGTATCTGGGGAGCTGGAAGATGAGAACTGGCGACTTTGTAGTACAACTGTAGTACGTGGAGCAATCTGTGGAGCTGGAAGCTGAGAACTGGCGACTTTGTAGTACAACTTTAGTACGCGTAGTATCTGGAGAGCTGGAAGATGAGAACTGGCGACTTTGTAGTACAACTTTAGTACGCGGAGTATCTGGGGAGCTGGAAGATGAGAACTGGCGACTTTGTAGTGCAACGGAGTATCTGGGGAGCTGGAAGATGAGAACTGGCGACTTTGTAGTACAACTTTAGTACGCGGAGCAATCTGTGGAGCTGGAAGCTGAGAACTGGCGACTTTGCAGTACAACTTTAGTACGCGGATGAGTCATCTCTCGCGGCTGAGTCATCTCTCGCAGCTGCTCTGGCGCCCCTGCAGCTGAGTCATGTCTCCCGACCACCCGGCTCTCTTGAGAGGTTGACACACACACACAGAGACCCACGCACTGCCTCAACTTACTCGGAGACACACACAGACAGAGACTCATACACACACAGACACAGATAAACACACGACTTAACACTTCACACTGATCACTTAACAGATAACTCACACTCTGACTTCCTACGTGATGAAAAATGCTTTCGGGCCACTCGTCGTCTAGTTTTTTTTTTCCTCTCTTCACCCTCTTTCTTCCTTGGGCGTCCCTGGATGCTTTCGTCATAGCTGGGAGCCCTTCCTTTTTGGTGTGTCCTTGGACGCTTGTGCCGTAGCTGGGAACACCTTTGCTTCCCTCTCTCCCTCCTTCTCTTTTCCTCCTCCCCTCCCCCCTCTTTCCTCGCGCGTGGCGTATTTACAAGCAAACTAGGCTTCTGCAACAGGTTTCTCAATGAGGTTTGGACTGTCATCGGTTTGCCCCCTTTCATTTGGTTCCCCTTTCATCCGCCCCCACTGCCTTTTTTCCTTCTTTCCTTTCATGTCCTTCTGTCTTCATGTCTCTTCATCCTCATCCTTTCTTTCTCTTGCGCGCACTATCGTCCGGACCTTAGTTTGTACACATACACGCACGCGTACTCTACTTACAACGAGGTTTTGGTGGCCCAGGTTCGTTACAATGAGGTTTGGCTCATCGGTTGTCCCTCTTCACTTGGTTCCTTTTCATCGGCAACCACACACACCTTGGTTTGTCTTGTCCTTCTCATTTTCATCTGTCCCTTTTGCGTGCACATGTGCCTACCTCCTTTCCGGGCAGGATGGAGGTCACACATGCCTCCCTTCGGGGAGGCGTGTGTGTGTAACCCTTGGAATCATAGGGATCCTTTCGGATTTTTCAGCTGTAATCTTTAGTTCTTACCACAGCAGGGGGATGCCGGGGATTTCCATGGTCGGCATCCAACGAAGACACCATGGACTTCCTGTGATATGAGTCAGGGACGCCTGACTCACGTACCTGCCTTTTCACACGGAATGGCACGAGGCTAAGCCCAGAACCTCAAACTGCAGACATGCACGACACGTCGTCACTTCGACCTGATGGCCGACCTCGATCTTGCGCTTTGGGGCTCCTTTCCTTTTAAGAATTCCAGGATTCGATGGTTTCCTACTGATACTCTTAGGAAATGGAACCCTAGGCCGGCGTGTGGCACCGCATTCAGTTCAGTACACAATATCCTAAGTGTGTGTGTTTGAAGGACCAAACAATTTGTCATCGCACATATAGTGGATTGAGAGTAGATGGCACACCCCAATGTCGGTGGTTTATATTTCACCCCCATGTGTTCAGGACATCTTGAGGTCTGTGCCATTTCTCACGGAGCCAGCAAGAAACTTGACAACAAGGTTCTATTCCAAATCAAACACCCACTTGCTATTTGGAAGACACCTTCAAGCTAGATGAGCCTCACTGTAATTCCTTCTCCCGAGAATCCGTCTGCCTGTCCATCCTTCGGAATGAACAGCGTTCCCACTCGAGGACGTCTCCAGGGCGACGACTCCGCGGCAGGCGCCCACTCCACGTCGTCCGAAGGGGGGCGACCTGGAAGATGACTGTCACGCAGTTTTGGTCCAAAAAGCATGGCAACAAGGAATGAACAAACAAGAACCGCAGCAGAACCCATTCATATTTAGACTCCCAAATAGATAGAAAAGTAGATCCCCACTAAAAATAGTATTGAACACTGCGCCACTATCACTTTGGGGATCACTATATGGTGATACAAACAATGAACGATCTGTGGCACTCTCTCTATGACCAATACTTGGAGACTAATATCTGCGCATATCTCACATGTTTAGAACATGTACTCGTTCTGAAACATGTTCTTCTAAAAACCGTGTGGTAACACTAGGGGCCTAGGGGTGCTTGCGGTAGGTGTTAAGGCCGGGTGTCTAATCAGGGTAAACACACGGTTTGGGGTCTCTTGCCGGGATCATTTCTTCGAAAACAAGGCGCCTCTGGGCGAATCGCGCCAGTCCTCTTCAAGCTCCTCCTCAGGTTGGTGACCTGGGCGGGGAACGTGCGAGAACGCGCGACACGGCGGCTTCTTCATGTGCTTCGATATTCCGATCCGTTTTCGTTCCGAACCTCAGGTTCGGTATGACTGGATCCGACAATGGCATCTACATAACAGTGTCGAACACATCAGCTTCTGACAAGGTACTTGGATCCCTAGGGTATGGGGGTGCTCTAGAGAGAGGAATTGATTACACTCCGAGCCACTAACATGGCCAAGCCAGCCACTTCCATATATTTCAGGAAGTGTACACTCATCAAACCGACTAATTTACAGTGATTATTCTTTACATGCTTTCTCTTCAGCACACCCTCTCTCTTTCCTTTTTGGGAGACTGGGAAATTCTTGGCAGGGTTTATCTAACAAGCTTCTGAGGGGGCGCAGGTAGAGGTTGAGGGAAAGCAAAAACGCGAGTGTTGACTTCTGCGGGCAAAAAAGATGTGCAGCTCATTCGGACGTTTAGCGCCGAAACAAGAAACTCTCATCTTTTGCGGTCAGGTGCCTGAGGTGCCTGTACATCTCGCAAGTATCCATGCAAGGAAGGTGAGGAAAAGCAGCAATCCCAGATATCCAGCAAATCTGGAGTCACGGCAGTAGGAAAATCTGCCGCTATTGCAAGAAGCCACTGCCCATTGCAAACCACATGTGGCGCACACCACCTGCTTTTGGGTGAGGGTTGAAGGAATCTAAGAACATCACTTTGGGAAGGACGCAGCAGATTCTCTCATAAGGCATGGAAACCAAGCGTAGCAGCTTTGCCAATTGAATCCAATTGATCGCTGTGATAGTGTCAAGATTGAACTCCCAATGGGTTTCGTTGCTTCCACTTGATTTCTGGTTTAAACCAGAGGCCCCGCAAAAATCAGTAACTAATCTCACCAACAACACCACCAAAAAGCCGGAGTCTTGACTTGGCAAAAGCAAAAAAACACATGCACCTGCAGAAGTATCAAGGGAGGGCTTATGCTTAAGCCCTTTGCACCCTTTGAGATTTGGATGAAGGGAGGTATCACCCCCAGCATCGTGCCGCAGAGTTCCAGCAAGACCACAGCCGCGCCCACCGCGAAACCTGATCGGAGAAGTCGAACAGGCACCGCTCCAGCCTCGCCGAAGGGGCGACGTTCGTTCTTCGAATGGTTGGAGCGCGCAGAGACTGACTGGTGCGACGAAAGCAGGGTGGCTGAGGGTGGCTGGATCCAATAGAATCTCCATTGGGGACGAACCTTCCCTTATTCCCTACTTTCGCCGCACCAGTCAGGAGATTTTAACCACAAAAATGCATGGAACATCCCAGGACCTTCAAAGTGACCCATTCCCAAACACTCCATGTATGCCGTAATGCCGATCAGGCCAGGGGTGGTGCCAGGGGGGTCTGTCTGGGGCGGCAGTCCGTCCTGGCAGTCCCAAACAGGTCGTGTCTGGGTTTGATGAGGTCAACATCTTGGACCTTTCGAGCCGCCCTACCTCCGTTAACACCCAACCAGCGGCTCTCCATTCCCACATTTTCGAGAACCGTCGTCCGTGTCAAGTCGGTCCCGAGCTCCCTCCGAGCGCGCGCCGAGCGCCGCGAGCACTGAGCTCATGGAAGTCCCAGCGGCGTGGAGGAAGCAAATGCCGGTCACCACCCAATCCTTCATGGTGTCCGCCAACTCGCTCAAGAACGGCACGGTGTAGAGAAGCACCGTCTTCGTGGTCGGAGCTGCTAAGGCCTCCCGGTCCTTGGGAAGTCATTGGGGGGCAAGTCTTAGGACCCAACCAAAAGAGCTATAGCCTATACCCTTCCAGTGCCTTTTCTCACCAACAGCAGCGCTACCGCGACCAACAAAGGCTACAATAAAAAACAATGAACGTATGACTGGTTGGCTACTCAAAGACATTGGTTCATTTGCACAAAAAGCAATCAGCTACACTTCAAAGCTGTAACAGAAACAACGCTGGGTTTTTCTGACAAAGACATTGCTCACTTCACATGCTGCAACAAGAAGCAATCCCCCCAACCTTCAGCTGGCAGCATTCAGTCTCAAAGCATCCAAAAGACGCTCCGTATGTGGATGTATCTTGGGAGGTTTTGGATAGTGGATAGATTCGTACAAAAAACCTTTCCACCTGATCCTATGCGATCATTGTTGACCCACTGCAAAAAAACAGTACTGGTCATGGGAACACACCCAATCGAACATCTCTTCGATGTAAAAACCCTTCTGTAGACAGACCAAGTCTCTAGAGTTGCACATCTCACCACATTCTGCAGAAATAACGTCCAAAGGCACCTGGCGAGTTTCGTGCATTTATTGTTTTTGATGGCCATGCCAAAGGCAAGACACATAGGCAATCCACGTTATGTTATGTGCGAATCCTCTAAAGTAAAGATCCAGTCGGTCCTTCCTATCTATTGTGCGCCACAGAAACAATCAACAAACTAACGAATAAACGTCCAGAAACAATCATGTATCCAAAAGAGTGTGTGGGACAAAGCTAAAAGTGTACAGTACCGCGCAAATGCTTGGGCACAGCTGTTGCCATAAGGCCCAAAGCTCCCAAGAGAGGCCCCCCCCATCAGGGGAGAGCCAGCCATAAAGAATGGCCATAGCCACAATACCAGCACAAACGATGTGGTAAAGAACCTTGCAAAAGCTCAAGGCCTGCTTCAAACACATGATAGCGGGTCTGACAATCACACACACTTTCACTTTTAGTATCTTTTAGTATAGGTAATCCATCGCTTTGCAGCCAAAAAAAAACCAACAGAGGTTGAAGAACCCTTTAGACTATCCCAGTTCGGTACCCCAGGTCTTCCGGGTCCTATCGTCCTGGTCACTGGCGGCTACCTCTGGAGAACTCTTCCGAAAATCGAGGGGCCAAAGCCAAGGTAAAGCAAATGCTCTGGCCAAAGCCATTGGCTTGCACTTTGCTCGGCGTATGTCGTGGCGTCTCAGCATCTGGGTCATTGGTCTCCAGATCCTGCAGCCTCCGATCCGATGGATCGAACCGGTGAACGATCCGCGAGGATCGTGCGACATGGTGTGTTTCACCACGGCCGACAAGGTCTGAGACATAGATGGATATAAAGACCATGCGAATCACTTGTAAGCTTATAGATGGATTAGTGATTCGTGATTAGTAGTAAAATAGTAGCGTAAATGGTGCCCAATCGGGCGGATGAAGCAAAAAGACTCATTTTTGCGAGCGATCTGACAGGGAACCGTGCCTGGCAAACGGGAGGTTTGGGCCGAACAGGTACCCTCCGCTGCTCACACACACACACACTCGTCCAAGGGGTCGGAGGAGGTCATATTTGCACCGAACGCGCTCCATGTGGGCAAATATGACCTACATGCTACTACATTAAATATGATCTACATACAGACCTACAGCACAGTACTACCTACAGTTCACCTACAGTACAAAACCACCACCCAAAACCACCCATTTATATTGGCAGGGTCATATGCTGCAGTCCAATGGAGCGCCTGCATGCAAAATGAACACATGTTTATATTTTTCACCAGAAAACGTGGGTAGATCACCTCTTTCGGCACCTCAGGAGGCCATCACCTGAGATCTTCAACTTCTTGGATGGACCCCAAAGGCGATGAATACTTGCAAATGGTCTTAGTGGATTGAGAGTAGATGGCACAGGTTATCCTAAGTATAGGAGGTGGTGCAATTATGGACCCCCATCCCTCTAGGACATCTCGAGGTCTGTGCCATTTCTCACCTCATTCAACCACTGTATAGGAACCACAGTGCCATGGTCGTCGAGAGGCTTGGCAAACATGAACGAGAGGATCTGAGATCCGCACAGTTCCATCTCGAATCCTCTCAAAAAAGGGTGCCCAAATACCAAATACCAAGCTTTGTTGATCAACCCTCTAGAAGGCCAAGGCCTGGCCATTCGCCGACGGGATCGAGCTGTCGGTCGACTGCCCGCCTGCCATAGCGTAGAGTCGAGTCGATCGACGTCTTGGGTTTCAGCGATCCGACGATGAGGCGCATGGCTTCGCAAAGGAAAGCCATCAGAAAAGGTGACCACCTCGGAGCCCGGCGACCGCGCTCCGCGGGTTCGCGCGGGTTCGCGGTTTGGCAGCGCTCGGAGGCTCAGACGCTCGAACGAGACGGTCCTGCTTGGGAATCTCCTAAAAAAGAATGTACGCTCCATGTAACTCCATATGCAATCCAACTGATCGGCAATACAAATGCGAGTCCCATGTGCCGTGTCTGGGTAATACAGAATAGTCGACGTGCACCCGGTTGTGCACCCTTGGTTGGATGCACCGGCGTACCCGGTTCGATGGTGTGGGCTTCTTCACCGCTCAGCAGAAACGCTTTTCGAAACGCTGCGAGCGGCACGGCAGAGTTCACTACAGTTACAGTAATGATTTTATAGTCATTCAGTAGTAACAGCAGCTGGTAGTACACAGTGAACTGGTAGTTCACCACAGAGCTGGTAGTTATAGTGGTTCGGAGATCTGATCTACCAGCTGCTTCAGTTCGTGGGCCCCAGCCAGTGACCCTTCTTTGAAGGCTTAAGTGGCTCTTAACCATCTAGGATTGAAGAAGCTGGGTCACTTGGAAGAACCAGGTGCGTTTCTCATTCACTTCTCAACACGTTCAGCATCTCTGACTTCACCTCACAGTTCGGTGCCCCTGCCCTCCCTGTGATGCACAGGTTCCAGGCAGGAGGGTGTAAGAACTCTCAAAACGACCCCCTTCTTGGACCCACTGGATGGAAGATAGACCAGTCTATACCAGGACCTGAGCCGTTCGTGACCTCATGGAGTCTCTATATAAGTGACCTTGTACAAACCTAAGTGACCTCATCCGGGGATATCAAAGGGTCACTTTGAAGGTGCTGGAGTCTATATACTATATATCTGGTGTCTACCTTGGTTGGAGGAACACCCTATATCTCACACATAGGGCACACAAACACGCACACACGTGTGATGAACAATAGGGAGGACCGTCGAAATAAGTTCTTTGGCCCATCTCCTGCATAAATAGTACCCAATACGATCACGCGCACTCTCGAGTCCAGTGAGACGTGGACTGAGTGGATTACTCGACCGATCGAAGTAACCAGTTGTACCCCAAATGAAAAAGTCACCAATGCAAAGACGCCAAGAATAGTACCCAATACATGAATAATCTGCTCAATGGAACCGTGGCCTTTCTTTACGTCGGAGTCTGAATATCTATCTTGAGAGGTCAGCGTTGTAGCCCTTCACGGACTCTGTGAGAAATGGCCATGATCTATGACATAGTATAGATACTATGAGTTTCCCTCCAAGCAGCAAAAGGATGGAGCCCCAAAAATGCAGCCTCTGCGTGGGCTCCTGGGAGAACTCCACCACATCCGACAACTTTGGAAGGAATTGCAGCGGCGGCGTGGCCAGTAACGATGGAAAGCTCTGCGATCGGCACGCCAAATCCCATCGACACTCATTCCTCAGGACGACCAAAGAGAGACCAAAAAGGCTGAAGGATGGCCGGTTGAATGGCCTGAAGGTGGTTTCGATGGTCCCATGTGCCAGTCCTGCCAGTCCCATTAGTCGTGTCTGGCGATGGGAAAAAGAGCTCGTCCCGTGAAGAACAACGTGAGGGTTCCGTGACCGAACTGCAGCTTCTTCAGGTTCCTTTTCGCGAACGTGAGGGGTCATGACTGGTGGCAAAAATGGAAAAAAGGGCCAACCAGTTGACCTTTTAGGGGTCTTCAAGGAGCACTTTGAAGAACCAGGGCACTTGAGATGTCTTTGCCCCCAAATCTGTCGGCCTTCGTTGACATCTTTTCGGAATGCGTCCAATGCTTTTCATGGAAGACTTGGGCGCTTGGGAAGACTTCTCAAACACCCTTTGTCGGTGCCACAGAAGCCACCTCAGAAAACTCCTCCGCATGGGCGCCCAGCTGAGCTCTTGAGTGGAGCTTAGTGGGGCCATCACCCACCTCTGCATGGGCGCCTAGCGAGCTCTGAGCGCTATCTAGTTGTGCTGAGCCTCCACATGCTGATGCTCAGGTTCTTCACAAACCATTGCACCACTCCGGCCACATTGGGCACAGCCACGCGGAGTCCAGCCGCCCAGGGCACCATGGGTTCTACTGGCTGGCTTCGATCCGTGAAACAGTTGAATGACTATAGCGATGGTCGGCAAGGTTATTCTTTGATGCGAAGTTCGATGGCTTCTTAAGACTCCCTTCAAAGTATCCAGGTACCTGGTTTTGCCCCATGTCCTATCTGAACATCTGGCTTTTGGTGGCTCACACCTTGAATGGTTCGTGCTTTTGGGTTGGTCCTGGGCTGTCAGACAGCAAGTCACTTGGGCAGTGGAACGGGAAATGACACACACCTCTAATTCATATTGTGGACGGCTGGGGGCCAGGACCTATGGAATGATTTGAACTCGACACTCCTCGATCACTTGCTTCCTCCGATCCATGCTGTTCCACCAAATCTGCTGTCAAATGCCGCGGATGGACAGCCCTTTTCGTCGTTAGGCCCACGATCCAGATGTGAGGTCCTCATTTCCATTGAGTTTGGCAGCACCAGATACCAAGCAACTATCCCTGTGCTATCCGTCGGATGAATCACTGGTCTATCGGATGGGACCTGCTAGTCGGTGCCTCCAACCCGTCCCATCCCGAGTGCCGACAACCCAAACACGACGAATTAATGGGACTGGTGAAAAGGGGTCAATGTAGGCAGATATGGTCCAATATATTCCATATACCAGCACCCTCCAACAGGTCACCAATTGAGACCTCTTAGGCCTAACAACTCTCTTTAGAAGACCTGTTGGAGGGTGCTGGTACATGGAGTCTGGGTTTTCACATCAACCAGATCCTGCGACCATCCGGAAATCGATACCGCCGTCCTGCAGCCGTTTCGTTAAACACATATGAGTGGATTGCCAGGTAAGGTCAATGAATGGTTTCGGCATGGTCAGCCAGGCGTCACGGGCGGCGGCTCCACGAAGTGAAGAACCCAAAGAAACCCCGTCGCATGGGACTGGGACTGAAATCAATATGAGTTATCTTAGAAGGAACCCCCCTCAACCCCCTGAGGATAAAACAGATCCCATTATCTGAAATAGTATACATGCATTGAAATTACATCGAGTCCTTGAAAGATTTTACCCAAAGTAGCTATACCTATTTGGGCTCCTGGCCCACCATCTTCAAAAGAAGGTAGTTGGACCCCCTGGATGGAACCCCCTGGCACCACCCCCAACCACTGAACCTGAGGATGCCCAGCCGGGGTCCTTGTCCGCCGGGGTCCTTTGAGGGGCCGACCGTCTTCTTGCCACCGAAGCTTCACAGCAGGCACCCAAGCCTTGTAGAAGACCAATGGCACTTGCCTGCGCGATCCGGGGCGAGTTTCTGAAGTGGTTTCTGCTGTGGCTGATGCACCTGGGGGGAACAGGTGAGTATAAGTGTTTCATCGGCTGACAAGCTTGGATTGGGGGGTTGTGGCGCTGCGCCCCATGTCAAGATACGTCAAGTACTTCCGCCAGCAGATCGTTCAACACTCCTCCCTCCCCCCGGGTCTTCCTTGGGACGTGGGGTCCAACCGACGACCGGGCTTAGGTCTCCCTGGTGAGACAAGAGCGGTTCATGAGCTGCCCCCGAAAAGCCTTAATCAATGACATTGAAGTGTTGACATTGTTTGTTTGCTACTAGATCAAAGACGGACACCCTTGTTTTGAATGCAATCAATATGCTTTTTTGAACATAGACACATACGTACTTGTTTGAGGCCTCGAAACAAAGCACTGGCAGATCTAGAGAACCATTTAGAGAAACACTCATCTGCCAAACAACAAGACGGATTTTCCACGAGTTTCCCAACAAAAAACAAGAAGCACTGGTCATCCCATCCAACATTCATGCTGATCATCGTGCAGCACCTCGTGCTGGGCCTCTAATCCTTGTAGCCAACACAAGGATTTGATCGTTACTGGAAAGCATCAAGGAGCCCATATGGACACCCCAGGATGCTCAGCATGACCCACCGCATACGTGATAACCGTGTGACCCACCGCGTGCGAGGCACCATGCACACCAAATCTTGACCGCGACTGGCCGACAAACGATGCGTTGTTTGCGGAAGATCTGGATTCTTCGTGGAAACAAATACAAATAGATACCAACAGAATGGACCCAAACACCAGAGTGCACAGAGTATACACCGAAGCCATACAGGTCGATGTAGAAGAAGCCATTAACTCATACGTGACAACCAGAGTCTAATTGGACTGACTTCTCAGAGGCCCATTTGCCCGCAAACGATGAACAAAAGCACCAGCAAGCCGGAGTGTTCAATGTTAACATTTGACTTCAAAAGTGCAAATCTTTCTGGTTTCAACATTCAAAATAAATATATGTTTTGTTTCTTGGAGTTCAGTACCCCCTCAGTCTGGGTCCAAGCGGATTTTGAAACATCTCCGACTGGGCAGAATTGAATCCTAACTAGCCAAGTAATGTAAAAGGCCTGAACACTTGCCCTAAGCCACCCCACCATTCAAAAGAATAGCAGCTCTCTCCTTTGTTTTCGTGCCGCCCAAACAAGTTGGAGCTAACTAAAACGAGATACTTCCAGGCAAAAGACGGCTATATAGATGAATACAGCAAACACGGCGATCGATGAAGCCACAAACGAATCCCAGAGGCTCCATGGGACTGCGAGTCCGGACTGCCTTCAAAACGGCCAGGGGTGGTGCCAGGGGGTCAGTCTGGGGCGGCAGTCCGTCCTGGCAGTCCCATAGAGTGTTTGGGAATTGATTAAGACAGAAGACGATCACGGTTTTTTGGCTCCAGGCGACATGGGCGTGTCCACGCGAAAGCCATCCACGTCGCAACTGGAGATCAACGCGTTGCTCATGGCCTCGATGACCGACGAGATACGAGACGCAGCGGACGACCAACGGTACAGGTGGAACCCTGCAGCAGAAAAACCAAAGATCTGCACCACCAGCGACAGCTGCAGCTCATGTGTGTCTTGCAGAAGAATCACCCACATCTTCAGTTCCCTCCGGATCAAACGCTCTGATTTCACGAATTCAGCCGCTTCTCTATGAGTCACTTGTGTGTGTGTGTGTGCATGGAAGAGTCCACCGTGACACTGGTTCGATTCATGATTCTGCCTCTTCCTCCAACCACTTTCTCCTCTTCTCACCAGTTGTGAGTCAAAACCACCTTCTCACCAAGCTTCCCAACATCCCCCAGCAAAACTGGCACCCAAACTGTGAAACATCTCAGACCTCCAAAAAAGGTTGATGGGACCCTACAGTGGTACAGGGATGGGACCCGGATGGGCTAGGCGAGAAAGGGCTCTTCAAGCTTTGCTATATAGGTCCATTCTCCACCTACTTCACACTGTTCCATCGCGCCGTTTCCCTCGCGCCGTTCCCCTCGCTCGGCGGGCGGATCGGCGGAGGCCGAGCGTTTCCCGCGGCTCTCCGAGGGCCCGGGCGAGGTATTTCTGTTGGACGCGCCGGTGCTCCAGGCGCAAATCGTCCATGGTCCCGTAGAGCTTCCCTCGGTCGGTCGGTGTTCGGAGACGGTACGGAGACGGGACGGTCACGCGCGTGCAGTGCGGTGCGTGCGTTGGACGTCGTTCGTTGGTCGTTCTCATGTTGGGTGACCCTGGGTGATGGTTTTGGGTTCCCTTGGGTCACCCTGGATTTAAGGGGTTAAAAGAATTGTCCTTTTGGGTGACTGTTGGTGTTCGTCTTCTATGACATGGGTGCTTCCGAACGTGGTCGGGCTCAAGCCGTGGATGTCATGAGTGCCACGGTTTTTTCCACCGCCGAGGGACACCACTTGTTGGACTCCCTCTGCACATGCATCCTCCGATCCTTTCGACACCTTGTTTCTCAAACAGACTGCTTCGCATTCTGGTTTGTAACGCTTTAGAAGAGCTTGAGCAGGGCCGGGAGGACCCAATAGGGATTGGTGAACATGCGGGTTTCCATCCCCCCACTGGGAGTTTGAAACGCTTGAGTCAGAAATCATCAAGTGCGCCTAAGGGCTTTACGTGGAGGTTTAACAAACACAAAACCCAGAAAGGCTGAACAGCCCTTTTTCGCCTATCCCATATGTACCACTGTAGGGTCCTACTTCAGGTCTCTCAACCTGTCTTAGAAACCTTACTTGAACTTCCATGTCGATTTTTGTTGGCATTCATTCACTGCGTGAGCAGCCGCTTTATCCACATCCGGAGGGCTGTCAAACAACACATACTGGAGAACCATGAAGGAAAGCGTCTGCAATCGCCTCTGGACTCTGTAGTCATTTTGATTCCAGAAAATTTTCACAAACAAATACTTGAGGTCCGAAACATGTTCCTAACCTTTTCCAGCTCTGTCTCCACCGCATCAGCACCGTGCCCAGGCCAGGAAACCGTAGTGGATCTGGAAGGGATCATAATAGTCCTGATGGAGAGGGATTTTTCAAATCATCCAAACCGTTTGTAGATATGACGCGTGACAAACATAGTCAAAATGTGTCACGCCTCACCAAACCATGGGTTTGGTTGACATCAGACAAGCATATGACAAGCACCTCCTCCTTTCGTTTCGAGGCTAGCGCCAAGAATAGAGAATGACAATGATATAATGATAGTTTTTCTGTGGCCAAGTAAAGACAGTGAGCCACCAACTCACCTTTGTCCACTTTTGATCCTTCTGGGCTCCCCTCAGCTGTTGAGCTCCAAACCACCGGGACATATATAGCAGGTTTTGCACATGCACAAGGTGCTTTATGGGATTTTGGCGAACTGCAATGTTTGACCCTACAAAACAGTAGGCACATGCAAGCACGTATTCCACTCATGGATTGACAGGATAGGATCTGTCACCAGTTTCACAAGTTTTCTGGTATGGTAGCCAACTAATCGTATAAAAAATGTTCATATGGTAAGGCCAGAATCCGTGATTAAAAAAAGCATCCAAACAAATCAACTGGAAAAGTCAAAGTAAAAAAAACAGCAAATTGAAAATAAAAAATGAACCATAGACCACAGCTCGAAAAAGTCAAAAAAAATCAACAAAAAGTCGAAAAACAATCAAAAAAGTCAAAACAAGTCAACCATAGACCACAGCTCGAAAAACATCAAAAAGAACAAAAAAACGGCAAAAAACAAAAACATCAAAAAAACACAAAACACAAATGTCAAAAAAGGTCAAACACAATAAAAACAAACAGTTGAAAAACATGTCAAAAAAGTCAAAAAATCGAAACAAATCAACAACAGTCAAAAAAAATATCACAAGAATTTCAAAAAAGGTCGGATCTGGGCAAATTGACTCTTTTTTGACTTTCTGAAATTTTATGATTTGATATTTTTTGACTTTGACTTTTGGGATTGATTTTGTTGACTTTTTCTAAAATTTAGAAAACAGGCTCTTTCCAATGAAATTCTTTTTATTAAACTAATCAAATGTCATTCCGCAGCTGTGCTTGCATGCGGGAGATCAGCAGTTCGCCCAAGCAAACACCTATTGAGTGACAAGTAACCATGGCTAGCACCAAATGTTCTCTGCAAAACAGACCAGCGCCATTCAAGGCCAGCGACCAACCATTAGCAATGTTTTCTAGGGCCTCTTGTCGAAAGTGAAAGTGTTTGCTGATACCTGCCATCAGCCTCAGCGAAATCAACGATACTCGCACTCCTGGGTAGTATATATGGCAAACGGCCCACCTTGACACGCTTATATTTTGATTGTTTTTTGATCTCTTGGGAATCAGCGCTGGCAAATACAGAATGCAAAGATGTCCTGCGGTCATTGCCTGCAAACTCGGCACAACCAATGAGCAAATCTCTACTAATATCCTTCTCTCTGCGCAAATGAACTTCGTGCCTTCAACCACACCAGGACACGACTCGTCGTGCTCTTCTCGCAAAGCATTCTCATCACCCCACGAGTACCTAGTGTGTGTTGTCAACCCTTCCATGGCTTCTTGCCAAGGCAGACTGTTGTAACCTACGGCAACCTTCCCCAACATCACCAACACATTAATCATCTTTTTCCTGGCGCTCTCCGCACTGTCAGGCTTCCAGTTCCTTTTCACCACCAACACTGGGCCGTATTTGCAAGCCAGGCCAAACGCAAGAATTTGCCTGGTTCCAGCAAGGTGTGATAGCGTGATATCAAATACGAACTGATAAATCTTGCCAGGCGCGCTGCAAAGTGGATGCAGTTCTTGGAGGGGACATCGTAGTGGTGCCAGTCCTCCAGCTACGCCTCTGGATAGGGGATCGCCAGAGGGAAAACTGGTTGGCCTTTTCAGCGAAAGGCATCCTCTGTTCCGTGCCAGTCACCTCGACCAAGAAACTCCTCCAGCAAGTCGACCGCTTCTTGCAACTTTTGGGTGCCTTCCCGCCGATGCTGGTTGCTTGGCTGAAGGACTTCCGCTTCCAGGAGACGAAGACGAGTTTCAACGTCCATCGCCTGCCGTACTCCGAAGCCGATCTCCTCCGTCTCCTTCTTCGACCGGCGGCGTAGCTCCCACGCCGCCTAAGGCATTGGAATTGCGGACGTCCTTGTCAATGCTGTTCCGGGTGTGTTGCCACAATTTCAAGAGGATAATGATGCTAAAGACTGTTGTTTTGTCTCCATGAAAGAGAATGCAAAGTTTGGTGAGTGTGAGTGTGACCGAGTGTCAATGTGACTGTGAGTGAGAGTGAGTGTCAGTGAGAGCGAGAGTGAGCGTGAGTGTGATTGTGAGTGAAGTGAGAGTGAGAATGAGAGTGAGAGTGAGAGAGTGAGAGTGAGAGTGAGAGAGTGAGAGGGAGTGAGAGAGTGAGAGAGTGAGAGAGAGAGAGTGAGTGTGAGATTTAGAGAGAGTGAGCATCTGAGAGCACGCCTCAGAAAGCACAGACTGCTGCGCCTGCCACGAAATCTGCACACAAAGTGCTGCGCCTGCCACGAAATCTACACTTCAAGGTTCACAAAGTGCTGCGCGTGCCAGGGAGTTTGCACTTCGAGGTTGACAAAGTGCTGCCCCTGCCACGAAATCTGCACTTCAAGATTCACATGGCGCAGCCCTGCCAACTTGTCACGTAAATTAAAGTCGACTTTGGACCACCAAAGCACAAGGTTTCCCCTGCCTGCCACGAAAAGTGACCACCATGCCAAAAAAAGGTGCACGCCACCACTACGCAGTCGCGACGAGCACCCGCCGCGGCCAACCAGATTTCGCGAAGCCTGCGCAGTCGAAATGCACTTCGAGGATTTCGAGAGGCATGAATGCACTGTAAATATAGCAACGAACTAGCCGTCCCTGACCGCGCGACACCTCGATTAGACACCGGCCCTTAAGACTTACCGTTAAAAAAAAAACCTAGTGTGACCACACTGCTTGGAGACAGACGACCACCCAAAATAGACCTGGTCAACCTACCGCGGTTTGAGGCTCCAGGTGTTCACCCAATGATGAACGAATTCGCCACCACAAAGCGGCGCCTCAGTCCCAAACACTCCACGCGACTGGCATGTCGACCTTAGCCTTCACCCTTTTCAATCACCCCAATTGACAAGAGTGCAAATTGAAAAGGGTACTACCATGCACTACCAATCTCCAATAAATTGTTCAGTATATCGTACACATGATCATACAATATTCAATCGACCACTGAATATTCAACACACATCCACCCCCCAAACAGCTCATTCGTGTCAAACACCGTTGGTGGACTCCGTGGTCGTGTTGGTGTCTGCCGTTCAGGCTGACACCGTCATATGGCTGTCAACCAGGGGACGTTGGTTGACCAGACATGGTGAACTGAATGAACAGAATGTATCATGTAGACTCACGCCTTGCACCACCTGACCCGTCAGTGACCTCTTTTCTTATGGGGATCTACAGACCCACATCATGTGGACTCTTGATTTCATAACCTCCCCCCCATTTTGAATTGAACAGCCTCTTCATATTGGAGGGTCTATGTTTCCAAGAGTCTACATGACCAAACCTGGCGCTTCGCCCCTTCCGGTTTGGACCGGTCCACCGGTCCGAGTTCGTTCGGTCCTGGAGGTCCCCGTTGTGATGAAAGTCGCTGCTCTCGTAGGTGCCGTGGCCCACGTCCACGGTGGCCTCGCCATGCTGCCCATAGAGCGTGCCTGGCCGGAGCAGCTGTTTTGGAGGTGCACCATGGATGGAGACGTTGGGAAGGGGATTCATATGGCGGAATTTAAGGGTGTACACCGTATGTGGGTATATATCTGGATCTTCCAACTGATACAAATGTTCTGCCACAAATCCGAAGACCCAGCAGGTGGTATTTGTCCACTGCCATGAGGATTTCAGGGAGTGTACTACTTTGTTGGTGGAGGTCATGAGTCATGTCCATCATTCGGCGACTTGATCCAACGTCCAACAAAGAAACATGGCATAGCATGGTGTTTGTGATTGTTTGTGAACACATCTCCCTTGCACAGGAGGAACATATATCTGTATATTTCGGAAACCTTTGCCAGGTTTGTGTTTGACAGGGTATTGAAAACCTGGTGTTTGCATGTGTTTTCTTATGCTTGCTATATACAGCTCTGCCTTGTGAAGTCTCTTATCCATATCATCCCATGAACAAACTTATACAAGACCGACCAGCGCCCGACCGGTATATTTTTCAATGGGAGTCGTGATCAGTCGTGATCTAAACTCCATGAAGACCAACTCAAAAGGTCCGTTTGGACACTTAGTCTCTATCCTTTGAGTGCTCACATCATCCCATCCCACACCCACAGTGCATAGCACATCTCGACCACAAACCAGGACTCCCCGGTGACACAGGCTGCCAATTGGTGACACGTGCTGTGTGTCCATGTCCCTTCACCGCCGTGGTGTGTGCAAACACCCGGGCTGCAGCCCCCGGTGTTATCATGTCGTGTTTCCGTTGGTGATCCGTTGCCTGGGTATTGCGCTTGGGGATCCCAGGTGTTGTTGTACCAAAAGTCCATGTAGGGCTGTCGCCCGGCAGGTGTCGAATGCAACTCCTCCATGGGCCTCAGACCCAAACGATGGACAAGACCGGGTGAGCCGAACCAGGGAGACTGGGCAAATGGCGATGAAGCACAAGGCATAAGTTTAAGCATTAGGTGTCCGTGTTGCCCCTTCTGTGGTTGGTTCTTAAGATGTGATGTTCTCTCTTCCTAAGAAACACGCGGCAAGGAGTTAGTGAGTGATGAAAAGAACCTCAACGATTCAGATTTCGAGATCATTACAGCAACACATTGCTGCTGTCCAAAATAGCCCCTGACCTACAGCTTCAACCAGGATGGACACAACTATTGATCACATCCCTTCGCGGCGAGGTCTACCTATGGAATGGGCTTCAACCGGGCAATAGTATACTCAGTCCCTTGAAGTGAAGAAAAGCACCAAAAACCTACATAGGCATATAGGATCACATATGGGACATTCCATCATGGAACATATATGCAGGGCATATAGGTATATACCTATTATATGGAGCATATGCCTATATATATATATATGTATTATATGCCTATGGAACATATATGTATTATAGGCATATCATCATTCCATCATTTATTCCATATATAACATATACCAGGACCCACGGGTGGTTAATGGACACACCTTAACCTCTAAGGAGGGGTCCTGGTATAGTATATAATATAATATATATATATATGTTATTTTTTTGCACTTGACTTGATGTCTTTGGATATGCTGTCCAGGAAGCCGGGAAATCATATTCCCCCCTGCCATCAGATATTACCCAGGAACCGGGAAAATACAAAGCCATCTTTTGTAAGCGAGGTCGTTCTGTTTCTTGTGCCATTTGGATCCGTATTGGTCTTGTCCTTCCCTGTCAATCCCTGTTGCTTCTGGTTTCTGATTGCTCGCCGCTGCCCATCTTGCCATGGACGAGTCCTCATGTCATTTTCCACATCACGCAACGCAAATTATACCACGGGCCCATATAACTCATATGATCCTACTCGTTGGAAGCTGGAAGGTGTGCAAGTACTGGGCAAGTGGCAAACTGAATCAGATCAGTGTTGTACCCTGAGAATCTTCTGAGAAGTTCCAGAACACCTCCATGCAACGCATCAACCAAATCTCCACCCACCAAGCCATGCACCTCATGCAGTCCCCCGTGTTGGTCCCAGATAAAATCCGATCGCCCGAGGCGCTTGCGCGTGAGCAGCAGGTACTCCCGGCCCTGGACCGTTTCGTGCATTCGCCAGGGAGCACGGCCCTCTTTGTGACCTGGGACGGTCGAAGAGACTTCGCCACGGGAGAAGGGCGAAGACGGACCAACCATGTAGGCATAGATGGGGTATATCAATATATCGGTATATTCCCATGAATCAATCATTATTAAGTGGGTGGTGATCAGGTTGCAAACCATTCTCCCTTTTTTCCCATTTGCGATAGCCAAGGCACAAAACCAGTGACACTTGCGCGCATTAATCAATCCACATCAAACATTAGGAGGAATCCAAAGTCAGGGCCCATGTCGGAAACAAACTGTCATCTTATGGATCGCATTCCCGAACCAATCACTCTCAGGGTGGGAGAGCTCAACAAAACCTGGTTAAAACAATGGTTTCAACATGTTAGTTTGCAGTTGGCCATCGTCCTCTCTCCCGATCTTACCGATCTTCTGCAGGGAGGTGGTGCGATGCCACACGAAAAATGCCATATGGTTTGGAAACCTACTCACGATGAACAAGTAGTTCTGACTGATACCTCTGAATCTGCCCTGCTCAATGTGGACATTCTGACAAACAATAATAACCCAAAGGACATTGACAATAGCTAGTCTCCAAACAGAATGCAGCTCGCTTTCCACCCGGGCCCAAAGCCACCAAAGGAATTGGGTTGAGGATTTGGGTCGATATGGCGCCGGAAAATCTGTGACGGTTCGTGAGTCAACAAGTGAAGACAAGTGAAACACAATTTTAAATGGTTGGTCAGCTTTGTAAAAACACTAAGTCAAACCCACCTGCGCTGAGAACTGCACTTTGAACAGTCACGTTCAAGGCAAGTTCGCTTTCGTTTTCACCCATTTTCGCAAGTGACATGACGGGCTCAAGGCCTGTGGTCAACAACAAAGTTCTATGGGTTCAGTTCAGTGCTTATAACCTGAGGCAACTCTCTGTTGCTGCGGAGGTTGGACTGCAAGACGACCAGGTTAACCAGGTCCACTTTTCTTTTGATGGCCTTCCGGCCTTCCAATAATAAAACAGTCCCAATTGATGGGTTGCCATTGCCATACATGGAGTGTCTGGGGCGTGCAATGCTGGACGGCCACGCATGTGCCAGTGCTGGGTGTTACCCGCTCCAAAACAAAGCCCAGTGTGTATGTTTTGTTTGTGCTACTCAGGTCAATGGCATGTACATGCAGTACATTCTTGCTATACATATGGTGCTGCACTATCGCTGCACTCACATTGACATATTATGAGGTCTCCAAGATCATCTGCCAGCTTCATCTGCTCTTCAAACTCCACGCGCTGGCGCTCTCTGATTTGACGTCATGTTGGGCTGAACAAGAGCGCGGAGGAGAGACCTGCCACTTGGAAATAAGGCCGCTGAGCAGCCATGCAGGAGAAGAAATGCAGGAAGCACACTCCCACGGCCCACTTCCTGCGGTACGTCTGTCCAAATTCTCTCCCAAGGGCCGCCCAACAGCCCAACAGTGCAAGGAAGAAATTCTGGATAGTGGCCCCAAATTGTCTGCCCTCATTCGGTCGCCATATAGACCATGTCACAACCTCTTGCTCACTTCTTGATAAGCAAGCTTTTGCTGAAGGGATGTCAGCGCATGCGAGAGATTCATCTTCTCGTGCGCTCAAGGAGCAGCTTCTCTTCCTCCTTGCGTTTAAGCTCAAGCTGAAACCGCTACTTCTCAACCTTCTCGCTCTCCAACTGACACCTTCTCGCTTCGCCAGGTCTTGCTGCTGCGCATCGCTGCTTGAGCTCTTCGACCTTCCCACTCTGACTCTCCAACTGTCTAAGCTATGTGACAGCCGTTTTGGTTTGCCGCTGCACAGCACCGCTGCTGCCTCGTCTCCCCACTTCTCTCCTTACATGTCTGCCTGCGTGATGGCCGTTTTGGCTTGCCTGATGTGCCGCTGCTGCCTTATCCACCCACTTGTCTCCTTACATGTGTCCCCACTTGTCTCACGGGCTCGCCGGGCTAAGAGGAAAACATGTGTTTCCGTTCAAGTTAGTTGCTATCTAAGGTCTATGCTGGTGTAACTGGCTAAACGCCGACCATCGCGTGTTTGAACCATGATATTTCAGTCACTTGTCAGCTATGACATGTTGAAACCGACTAAAAAGGGGGGACGTCCAATCCCCCCCAACCAGGTCTCAGGTCGCAACCAATCCCCACCACGACCCGCCGAAACCTCACGCCGTCCCGCTCCAAACGCTCGCCGCCGCTCCCCCAACGCGGAGCGCGGTGCCTTCGAAGAAGAACTCGTTGCCTCACGGAGCGTCGAGGCGTCACGAAAGAGACGAAGCACATCTGAGTTCAAGACTCCAGAAAACAAAAAACCAGTGTTGTGTTTCTGAGCCAATGTTTTTGGCATACATTGGAGTGTTTTTTCTCGCCAGCTTGCACGGTGTTGGGGTCTCTGGTAGACCACTTACCGCCGACCACTCGGGGTCTCCCCTTTTTGTGGAGGATCTCCCATCCACGCATTAAGCCGGCCCAATCTTGTATTTGCTTAAGCCACAGAGAAAACAATATTTAAGCAACCAGGAAAAGATACAACATATTCACCATGCCAGGGGATGTACCCATAGAGACATTAACAAAAAACACACACACCCACAATACGCAAACAAGGAAATGCTGCGGTAGAAAGGAATCGTATACCTTGTGTTGAATTATGGGGGCATTGCATCATGTGCCATTCTCATGGAGTGTCTGCCATTCAGTCTGCCAAAGGTCTTTGAGAATTGAGAATCAATATCCATATTGACGGGACTCCGTCATTTTGCCTTCCTGAAACTTTGGTATACCGCGGTATAGTAGATTGGGAGTCGATGGCGACTTCGTTACCCCAACGTTTGGTGGTTTACATGAGCACCACTGGACCTGTCTAAGACTGTACTGCCGGTGCCAGTGCCATTTCTCACCTCTGAAACCACAAACACGGGACAGGTGGGTGGAGCCTGGCGATCTGTTTGGAGGTCGATCTTCATACTATTTCATTGCACCTTGAGTATGATCTACAGTCATACATAAAACATGTTCCTGGAACCCATGTGACCTCTGTTATAGGGTTATAGGTTTTTAGCCATCAGGCAGGTGTTCTTTCAGGACCAACAACGGTCCCGGTGTGGGCGGTCCGCAGATCGCCGACCCCGCGCGGATCTCCGTTCCCAGGAGCTCATGTGGTTCATCACCACGTCGACAATCACCTCTGGACCGCGCGCGCGTGGCGGTCGCACCGCGCGAAACCAACGGGACCCGGAGCAACCGGACAGTGAAGAGATCGAAGGCCAGACCTAAGGAGCTAGACCGGACCCTACTTCCTGACCTGTTTGTTTTTTCGATTGGAGAGTTGAACTACGAAAATGAGTGATGATCGAAGTGGGGGATCTCTCAATCTCAACAACTCGCTATAGTCAAGGACCACCCCTTGTCTTCAGAGTACAATGTGAAGCTTTTCTCTCATCAGAGTTGTCATCACCTCGTTTGAGCCATCCACACGACATCCTGCGGAGAGCCATCCATTCAAACGTGCATGTTTCGAGCATCGACCGCGGTTCATACCCAATGCACGTCGCCGTTTAGGTCTGGTCTGGAAAGCATCAAAGCTATTTGTTTCTACATGAAGATCAGTACCCGGTCCAGCACCTTTGCGCATGCCAAGTTGGGTCAAGAATATGTCTGAAGCTATGTCTGAGGCGGGTGGAGCTTACGTACGTTTTGGAACCTAAACAAACCTAACAGTTTGGGAATCCTTCTCTTTCTGAAATCTGTGGGTTTAACACATCTCTGAGAATACTTGATTCCTGTTGCTACCTCTTAGAATCCTCTAAAAGGTGGATCTGGGCCATCCAAGATCTGCCCGGCGCAAGAAAAAATACAGCCTTCCTATCCTTTGTTGGCCGTCTAATGTGCTCTTCACAGAAGGTTTCTATGGCAACCCTCAAATAGATCCATATGATTACGATTGAGAAAGTTAACTTATATACACAATCAAAAACTATTGAAACACATCATACTTTTGAAGCACCCTGCAGTTGTGTGCACATGTCTATGATTCGTGACTAGCAATTCATTGAACGTACTGAAACATGATTGACACGAAACGAGCGAAACACGGTGCATGAGAGTCACGGTTCATGTTCAGTTGTTCATTGATGACGACACTGATGACCGCGTTCCGCCTCCGCCGCCCGCTCTTTACCATCCAAGAGACGTAGAGCCCCAGTGCATGCGCTTGCTCCGTGAGGCGTCGAAGCTCCTCCTTCGTGCCCAGGCGTTGGTCCAGCAGAGTGAAATCCAACTGAGAATATTGGTGATAACTGTTGTAGCCATTCCTCGGTCAAATGACTCTCTTCCGATGGTCACGAACGCGATGTGTCGGATGTGTCGTGTTTTTTCTTCTCTACTTGGGAGGGTCGGTCCATACCTGGATAGGAATACCTGGATAGGGTCTTACAGGGCTTGATCGGATTCCTGCGGAAACATGGAAAAAACAAATCATGGTACGGGATCGAAACTACGAGGTTTTGGCGTGACTTTCGGATATGATCCTCCGTTCGGAGGTTTCAGCCAAGTGCGTTTGTCATGGGAAAGTGGTGTGTTCCAGCAATGCTAGGACGGAAAAGGATGGATGCGCGGTATAGAATAGAAAAGGCCAGAAGAACTGACCGGTGCTGAGTAGGGTCAGCAGGGAATGAGGGTGGCTGGATCCATTCAGAAACCTCAGGAGGCGAAGCTCTTCTCATTCCAGGGGGCACCAGTCTGAGCTGCATCAGGCTGCATTGCAGGCACCATCCATTCACCGAATGGCACCATTCACACCCATCGAAAACGGCCATCTTTAGCACTGACCCCCCAAAATGCTACTCCCAACTGAGCGGGAGAACTCGGCCGTGAGTCGTGTCTTTTTCGAACTCGGCGATTTCGTCTGGTGCCAAGTCGCTGGAAAACCGGTGAGATCCAAATGCCACGACAGCCAAGGCCTTTGATGTATTGCAACTTTTCAGTCCTTAGAGAGAGAGAGAGAGAGAGTGAGTGAGTGAGTGAGTGAGTGAGTGAGAGTATGTGTGTGTGAACTTTTTGGGGAAGAAACTGTTTGTTGGGCAAACTGTTTCCTTTGGACCTTTTTGGAACCTTTTCGGTGAACTTTTCCTGCGAAATTCGGGTGTTCCGGGAGGAGCTTCTTTTTTTTGGGGGGGCAAGAACTACTCGACCTCGACAGTTCGTGGTGACTGAAAGGCGGATGCATAGGGTGAAAGGTGGGTCGAATCCACTGGTGCGATTGCTCCTGAAAACGGAGAGGATCCTCGAAGTTGTGGCATGTTTCTATATATATAGGTCTTTCAAAAGGATCTTTTTGGAGACCTCGACAAATACACTGGACTGGCATTCAGGCCCAGCTTGGAAATCCAGGATCTGGCAGTGTCAAAGGGTTCATCCACTGACCTCTAAGGATCAACCATCTTGCCTAAACCATCATGAATAACCAAAGGGACCATCCATGAAACTTCCAAAAGGCTTTTATAGCCTAGTTATGTTTGTGATGCATCCTCAGAGAGGAGAAACCGCCAGCCCACCTCCCTACCCAATCTCTGGGTGGTGCTTTCGCAGTTTCACCTGTTCTTCAGCCAAGGGCGGCTCAAGGGTTCAGAAACACCTCACACCCCGCCCGGCCCATTTTCCTCATACCTGCATACCTCCTCCACCTCGATCTTCCGACGAATCTCGACCATCCGACGCTTCCCACCTCCACCTTGCGCCGCTCCGAGGCGCAGGCCGCGGAAGTCCCCGCCATGGCGGAAGGTCATATCCCTCACATCGAAGCCGCCGTAGCGGAGTTCGTTGTTGCTGGGGTCTCCATCCGCAAAGCGATCCGTGATCAGCCTGCCATCCATCTCCAGTTGTGCGGTGGCTTTTCGCTGTATGAGAGGCGAAGAGGGTGAGGATTGAGAGCAACAGTATGTATATATAGTTGGATGTGGCGGGTTTTGTAAGTGTGATTCATGCAGTTCGGGAATTTTAACTTCACCTACTTCACCTTATATGCAAAGCCAAGTGGTCTGTTGTGGTTTCAACGTGTTTCAAAACCATAACCAGCCGGTCCATCCAAAGACTCCACATTGTTGAACATCTGTTGAACGTGCCAGCTCCCGCCAGCACCTGCCCATCCAACCAACGTAGAACTTCGCGCCAAGTGGCTGATAGATGGACAAGGAACGCCAATCTTCGGGGGATGGAAAGTAGCTATGATTCGTCCATCCGCCTGGCAGGTGACGCAGCAGCTGCGCGACAGCGGCGGTCGCGGGGTTTGGCCGGCAGGCAGCGGCGTGGTGTGAGGCGCTTGGTTGGCGAGAATCAAGACCATGTCAGCTGGGTTTGTGTAAAACTGATTGCTCAATGACCGACAAACGTTCCGTGACATGTATCATACATGAGGTATTTCATGAGGGCAGACTCAACCGTACGGAATAACAATAACTAAACACTTGGATTTGCTTCTTTTGAAACCGGGAAAGAAGCATCCGCCTAAGCAGAACCATGGGCAGCCGCAAACGGCCAAAAGGCAAATCAAGTCAACCAAAAGCCAAGTGTTCAATGCCTATATACCGGGCCAAGCGCTCAAAAGCTAAAATGGAGGCAACCAGCAAACACCCTTGACCACGAGCAGTTTGTCTGTGAATACACCAAAGGTTTTGGCTGGTGGATGTGTCTTCACCACCAGGTCAAGCACTTTCTCAAGGCTTTTCTGCCAACTTGCAGCGACCAGTTTCCATCGTCTCCCATGCCAACTTGCTTGGTTCTCTGTTTGAAGGCTAAAAATTCCTGAACCCAGCCGAATGGGCACAAAGCCTCATCGCTCAATACCACAGCTGGAGAGCATCATGTCCAGTTGTCTTCATGTAAGTACAGCATCGTTTAGAACTGAAACGAAGCTCTTTCTGCCTCGCCGACGTGCTCAAACGAGTGTAGCGTCACTGAGGTGCAACCACAGCCGGCCCAGATATGCTGTCGACCCAACGTCCCACATCATCTAGCAACTCATCAACACTTTTCAGAGTCTTCTTCCTTCTCTTGCTGTATGCTGGAGATCTTTTCGGAGTGAGAGTGCATCAAATGTTCTTTGCCTGTGCTTGCAGTACACCAAGTTCGGTGTACCAGAAACTAACCAGTTGTACCATCATCATAGTGCATGGGCAGTATTTCAATACCCAATCTGCAGTCTTGGCAAGCCTAGGCCGGGCTCGAATCATCTCAGAAGGTATACACTTACAGCCTCGAAGCTGATCACAAAACACTTAATCAGGAGCCGCTGAGAGCCCATAGCCATAAATAAGATAATTTGACCCCCGAGCCGTCTTCGAAAATAAAGGTTTCAAACCTACAAGTCAGATTGACCTCATTTTATTGGACTTTGGGCATACAAAGCACTACTAAAGGCAACAAGAGACTTGTAGGTCAGACTCCTTCTACTGGAGTTAGACATACAAAAAACACTACTCGTTTGTTTCCAGAGATTTGTAGACTCGGTAGGAACACTGTCCACCTGTTGGTTTCTGGTTTCTGTCCCCAATCTCCCCAACAGTTCGCTTTTCCCTGGTGATCTGTTTATATTTTTTGACAGGATCTAAACCACGAGGATCTGTGTGCCCTAAGTAGGGTGATTGGGAAAGCCTTCACATGGCTCCCCTAGACGGGCTGCTCATCCACATCTTTCCTGGCAATCTGTGCCCTAAGACCTTCACATGGCGGAACTGGCGCCAGACTCCGGCCTCTCGCGGCTCATCCGGTGGGTCACGACGCATCCCCACCTGCTCCAACCCTGCAGCTCCACCCATAATCCTCAGGTTCGCTGGTTAGACCCTCCTGGCACCCACCCCCAACCACCGAACCGGAGGCCAGGAGCCCTTTTTGGGGCAACTCCTTCGACCCCATGTTCGACCCCTTGTCCCTCTGTCGACCCAAGACTTCGGTGGGCCTCGGTAGGCCTCTGGCACATGCCGCTCCTCCAAATTCACGTTCCATCCTCGGTGAAGACTTCACTCCCCGCTTTAGCTTCTCACCAGTCGTGGGTCACCATACAAAACGGCACCATGGAACCAGATGGATCCCGATTCATCCAAGGTGCTTCCGGAAAAGATACAACAATATAATATGAAATATGACGAATATATGGTAGGAAAAGTACTCATATATGTTTTGCACGGAAGGAATTCACCTGTGATGATACCCCTTCCATCTCTGGGTGGGTTTTATGTTTACTTCCATCCTTCAACCTGGAGTCAAGATGACATGTTTGGAGATGTCATGAGATGTCTATAAAGGAAATGCAATTCATGACCCTTGCCATCAAAACATCTCCTTCACTCCAAGACTTCTGCCGACCTCGACCATCGCCGGGCGGCGTGCGTTCTCCGCGGTCAGCGGCGCAGTGTCCACCCCAGCGAGGACGAGGACGAGGACGAGGCCTGGAACGGCGCGTCGGTGCGTGGCGCGCCAGGATGGAAGGGTGAGGGACGTGGTCTGTGGTCGTTTGGAAGGAGAAGGGGGACTGATGAAGTGAAACTCGAAGATGTTCCACTTTGTACGATTGAGAGATGGCACAAATGTCCAAGTGTGGTGGTTTGGACATCCAAACAGACATCGTGGGGTGCCAGTGCCATCTATAATACTCTGAAAGCACTGTAAGTGAGTGTGTGTGTGAAAGGAAAGGCCAAACAAGACCCCGAGACTGGACGAGACTGGACCAGTTCACCATGGATGTTTCAACACTGTAAATCGGACAACCAAATTGATATCACCAAGTTATCGAACCACCCGGGGTCACAAAGGGGTGGTTTTTAGTCCCATCCAGTGAGTGGATGTTCTGGGCACCCCTAACCTCCATGGATAGCACCCCGTCTTGTGACTGCTGGTCACAAAGTTATCGAACCATAAAAACACTTGGCAGAATGGATCAGTGATATGCATTGATATGCCGCTATGCTTGCACTTTCTACAACTCTTACAAGCAACCTCTGGGCGCAGCCTTGTCAAACCGCACCGGATCATTTCAACCATGGACCATGCCTCTAAACGTCACGGGGGGCTCAGGATCCCCTGATCGCCAAACCCCAATTCGTTTGGGTGCCGTCCGTTCCCTCGGAAGCAGTTACTGCAGTTGTCACTCCATACCCAAAGTCCATGACACTGAACTATGCCATCATTGACCGTTCTTCATCCATTCAAACATCAGACTCTGAGTGGACCCTCCAGTGTTCCAGTATCTGAAAAGGGTCCACAGTGTCCCATTGAGTGTCTGAGGACCCACAGTGTCCCAGAGTCTTAGAGGATCAACTCCCCATTTAGTGTCCCACAGTTGAGGAGGGTCCACGTTCCATGCTAAATGTATCTTTGGCGTCCCAGTCCCGGTCCCTTTTCATGCCCATCGTTTGGAGCTTCCTCTATATGGCTCGTGGCGTCTCTACCGCTTCCCCGGATTTCACCAAAAAGAAAACAGGCATGCACCTTCCTTGGAAGGTGCTTCAACATCTTCTTTTTTTTTCAATAACATACCGGAGCCTCTCCACCGCAGCTTCAACAAAACCACCAGTGAGGCGGCAGAAGCCCGGGTGGAGTAAAAGAGATGTGTGGCTCCGGAGGCAGAAACACATAGCCGCACAAGCCACACTCGACCGTATGGCTCTACAAGACCCTTTACAAGCCATACAGGGCCATTCCCTGAGGTCTGGAGATGTCAAACCATTCTGCTACCCAAACGCGATCAAACCAAAACCCCGACCGGTCCCCTCAAAACCATATAGGGATCGGTTCGACACCAGACCGACCTGAGAATTCGGGTCCAACCCCTCCACTGGGAAGGTAGAAAGGCCAAAGGAGTCGACAGATATTTCAAGAGGGTCTTCCCCCTAACATCCCCTATAACAACTCCCCACCCATGTCGGGTGGTTTTTAGACTCCCCAGATCTATCTATTTTCCACCTAATAACCACCCAAACTGGGTGGTGCTGGTATAGTCTACTAGGTTTGGGAGTTTTGGATAGGCTCTGCTTCCGCGTCCTGGCGCCTCAGGGCGACCGTCCATCCCTAAGGTCCTGGCGACCCAGCCGGGCCACGCGCCCGAGCATCGCCTTCGTGAACAGCGCGACGAGGTGCCGGGAGAGGTAGGGAGGTGTGGGGGAGGCCGTTGGTAGATGCCTGGGGTGTGCAGGGGGGGATTTATGTAGAAAAAAAGGGGGGATATGACCTAGAGAAACACCAGGTAAATCAGATCTGTGTATAACAAATATCTGTATATGACATGACCAATATGTCTACAACAAATAGATCTGTACATATCGATCTGTATACCCTTTTTGGTTTCCACGGTACGGGTACGCCTTCAGGAGGTGCCTTTCTGAGCTGAGACAGGAGGGAGAGGGAGTCCCTGTCTCACGAATGTACAAAAACAGGCACAGCCGCACAGTGATGACATCTGATGAGGGTCAATAAGGGTTGAGTCACGAGGCATTCCCCTCATGAAAAATGATGATCTGTTTTTTCCTGGGCCTAAGGGAGATCAACTCGAAGAACGCATGTGCAGAGTCTATGTCCTACAGGGTTGCGTTGCTTCTCCGCTAGTTAAGAACCAAAAGCTGAAAGAATTGGAACGGTCGATGTTGTAGCCATTTACCGTGGATAACCACAAATGACACTCCATCTTGTTGGTGCTAGGTAGGAGGATTCAAAAGAATACAGCCCACCTTTCGAGTTGTAGTGCGACCAAAGTCTATCTATACCGAAGAACCCCCCTCCCTACCCCTCCTTTGGACCAAGTATTGTGTGGAGGCCTGAAAAATGAAGATGATGCTCTTGTATTGTATGCACTTGTAGCCCAACCAGAAGATTTCAAACATAACAAGACAACAAAAAGGAGAGTCCATCACCCTTGACACATCTTAGTACCACATAAGGGGTTGTCTATGAGGTATTTTGGAGAACCGAAAAAAACTCCGGATTTGCGACAGCGGGCGAATCGGAGGATCTACATGTTGTACTGAGAGTGGTTTCATTCAATTCATTACATGTTGAGGGGTTTGTGAGATGAGACTCAGATACAAAAAGTGAGGATCAGCAACTTACTTGGTTTTCTCGTGTCCTTAGCTGACTGTTGTCGAGTTCGAGGTTCTACCTTGATGATGTTTGCTCTGAAACAATTTCTTGTGGAGTCATTGACTCTCTGGATGCATCACAGTGAGATTCATGGGTCATTCATCACCAGCCGACACAGAGACATCGACCACGGTTTGGACGCGCCTGCAGTGGGCGCACGTCAAAGCTTTGGACGTAGAATGATGTGGCGGCTGCCGCTTCAAACACCCCGCGAATCCGCGAATGGGACACTTAGATGATCGACACCAAGAGTGGAATTGATGTCTTGTACCTCCAAGAAGTCATCCATACAACCCCTCCAAAAGCCGATGACCCTCCAAGTCACCCGTCACCAAGTCTCATCGCTTGTTTTAGAAAGTCATGACCCTCCAAGTGTACAGTACCCTATCCTTAAGACTCCTTTGGATGCGAACAATATCTGCAGGTCACCATATGTTGCCTAATCCAAAAGCCTGGAGGGTGCTGAGCCCGGAATCTGTTTTCAGATGCCCGGGAATTGCGATTCTTGAATTAGCAATACCCAAACACTCCATATATATATATATACAGTATATATGCCGATCAATTGGGGTGGTGCCAGGGGGGTCAATGAAGGCATATATGGCAGTCCCATGGAGCGTTTGGGAATATATAGCAATGCTTTTGGTTTGCAACGGACCGGGACGACTGATGACACATGTCGAACTGATGACACATCCTCCCTTTCAGAATTGGTGCTCAAGAAGTTAAAGTCTCGAAGAATCATGTTTAACATAGTTTCAACAACAACGGAGGGATCCAAAAATAATCTATGGGTTTGTTGAACTGAATTGACGGGCTTGATGCCTCAACTCCGGCGTGAGAATGATGCCGATGCTGACGGGGTGTCTCAAGCAAGCCGAATTGGTGCTTGCAGCGCGGTTTTCGCGCGCGAGAAAGCAGGCGATTGTAAACAATGGTTCGCTTGATGGTTGCCGATGTGCAAGTGTATGCTACTTTGAGTCGGAACATGGGTAACATGTTGATTTCATCCTCAATGAGCCATACTATCATAGTCTATCATATAACATTCCCCATGGCCTCTTACATCCTTCTGCACACTGCACAGCTGCTCATGAAGCCCTTGCCAAGCACCATGGGGTTCCATTGTGATATCTGAGCTTCAACATTGAAGCAGCTAGCCTTCTCTTAGGGTGAACTCACCATCAAGCCACGATGCGGCGGCAGTGCGTTCAGAAGAAAGGCAGGGCGTTGATTTCTAAGCAAAGGCAGTGTGTTTCAGGGGTAGCTGCCGGCTTGTATTTCTAAGTAAAGTAAAAAGCACTGCCAGGTTGACCGCTGTTGTTATGAACCGATTCTTCCGTCGTTCGGGATGTCAACCCACCGAGTCCAGGGCTCCGGGTGCGACACACAGCTGGTCAGCTAGTCTTACTGGAACCAGTGCCTGACCCTCCAAGCGAAGCTGACCAGGACCCCCTTGGTATTCAAGGTGGTGTTTTTCAACCCCGGAAAAACAGCACCCAGCGAAACCAGCACTATCAGAGTTGTAGCCCCAAAAGTGGGTCACTGGAGTGGCATGCTGGGTTCCTAATGGAAAACCAACACTCCAGGGGTCGCAAAGGGGTGGATGGAAACCCCTAACCTCCATTACCCCTTGGTGACTGCTGGCTTTTGCATGTTGCGCATGTTTTGCATGTTCCACCCTTCCATTGCGACCATCTCCACGCTGAAACCAATCTTGGGTCTCCTGGACCTTAAGTGGCTTGAGAGATGATGGCACAATCATCAAGAGGTGGATTACTCTCCCTGGAACTAACATGGAAGTGGAAAAAACACCCTGTTTGTAGAGGACAAGGGCCATCCACTTCAGTTCCCATCTGTCTAAGACATCAACCTTGGCCCACCGACCGACTGTCTGGCGTCCGGCCGACTCCTTTGAGTGTCCAAAAAGTCGCCCCTTTTTCGCCGGGAGCAGCGAAAAAGCGCGGGGGGGTTTGACCTGGCGATGTGAAGAACAGGATGAATGATATGAAAAAACAGGAATTGGGGCGTATACGACATGCATATCCCAAATGATGATAATGTAATGATTATAATTGGGTTGCAGCCTCAATCAAAAATAGTGGGACTCTTTACTTTATTGGCGGCAGTTCCTCGTAATGGGACACACCCTAACAATCATTGAGATCCTGAAAGGCAAAAGCGGTGCACTGAGTGAGCCCCTGATGCACGACTGAGTGAGCCCCAACCACCCTTCTTAGGGTGAATAAGTTGGCCACCATCTTGGAGATATAGTTCTTGTTCTAATCCACCTTGGAGATATATTACGTGAGTAATGCCACCTTGGCAAATAAGGTGGCTTTTTTGCCAGTTGGCCACCATTTATGTAATTATAGTTCTTGTTTGTACAATTTGCACGAAGTGGTGCAGGATCTGTGTTCTACGAACATGGAGAGGTTCACCCGTCGTTGTAGCTCAAGTGGTGTACGTAAGGGTCTCTCTTCCAAGTGTGTTTGTGCAGAACAGCAAGCAGCAAACGCTTCAACCTGATGCCGCAGCGTGCGTCTTCATGTCAAAGTCGGAATTCAAATTTCTCAGCACTTGGGATGATAAAGGACTGCAAGCTCTGGTGCCTGCTAAGGCCTGGTAGGGTTCAAGTACCCCAAACACGAGCTGTTTGGGACTGGAAGACCCGTTTTCAACTACCTCGTACTGATGGGCAAGTATGCCAGTGCCATGGAGTGTTTGGGGTGTGCGGTAAGGACTATATGGCCGTCTTCCGAAATGACGACCTGCAAAACTTGGCGGAATCCGTAAAAAGCCCACCATGGGGTGAGGAATGCCTTGGACTTTTACGCCCAGGGTACCCTCAGTATAGAATGGGCACTGGAAGTGTATTGTGTACCAGCACCACCCAAAGGGTGGTTATTAGGTGGAAAATAGATAGTCTGGGGGGTCTATAAACCACCCTTTGGGTGGTGCTGGTATAGACTGTATAGATGTAAATCCTTGGCACCTTTTTCTGCCCCACGGCCACCTTTCTGCCATTTTTGAGGCACCTGATTCTCGGTCTCTCACGCGGCCCAAAAAAGCCAATATACGACTCACCAGCGAAGGCTATACAATGGATTTACGGAGAACAACACGATAATCCCCAGATCATCCATGTATGGAATATATATATATACATACATCCGGGTCATAAATGGAGTACGATGTATGTAACATGATGTAACTATTCCATACATGGAGTGTCTGGGATCCTATCCTTTTGATTCACACTCTAGCGTCCTCCATCGTCGTTTTTTTAAAAGCCTGTTCTCAAAATGTCCATCGTCGTGCTCACTACCTGATCATGTTGGATAAAAAAGAAACGACCCAGCGAAGAAGTTTTTGTCAACCACCACCAGGCCACAAAAAACAAGGGCTCCCAGTTGGATTTGCCATGGATTCACCGATCCGAAACGAAGGTCAAACTGTTGGACACGTTCGTCGTTGTGTGCGACGAACCGCGGCACCGGCCTGCTTAAGCAATCCACTTCCAGCCTGACAGGTCGTCGTTCTTGCGCAGACTCGCTCGTGACCGGGAGAGTCTGCCTCGGTATTACACCCTGCCCCCACCCGTTTTTGTTGGGGGGCACGAGTTTTTACGGCGCATTTAAGTTTTCAGTCTTTTTTGGTAAGGTGGCATCTCTCGTAATCCAGTTGGGGAGGGAAGCCAAAGCACCTGTCATGTTATTTGAATGTGGCACATCAGCTGAATATAATGCTTTTGTCTTTTGATTTCTTTTGGATGGTCCAGATCCACCTTCACTGGCTAGTGTGACTGTTCACTCACAATTCCGCCTGACGTGTCCAACGCGGACGAGATGTGTACCCAGGTGGCAAGGAGACATCGTCCGTGATCGGGTGCAGGTGCAAAGCCCTCGTACAAGCCCACATGCTCAATCTCCCCCGAAGATTTGTGCTCTTGTGTTGTACACGGCATTGGGACGCTTGCACATGCTGACCTCCTCCTTGCACCTGAGGCTGAACAACTGCCCAATCCATTGCACGAAATCGTCATTCCCAAACCGCTTCTTCAGCAACGTCTTCATGCCCTTGACCGTAGAGTCCTGAGCTCCTGCTGCAATCAACCTGATCAGCATAGGCAACCACATACCTCGCAACAGTCAGGCATCTTTTTGGGTGTGTAACCAGGTTTCTTTAGTCAAGTGCCTGCCAAAATCCCCACGGTGCGCCGAAACGGCACTGTGTGTCCTCCTGTCTCTAAAGAGACTGACCACATTGCTAAGTAACGCCTCTAGAACTCTCTCTTCCTAATTCAATTCACCTTGTGCAGAATCGCACGGGGGCCATGAACACTTTGGAAGGCATTGCCCAACGAAGATCTTGTCAGCATCGTGTTGTGAAATGACTTTGGGACGCCAAAGTCACGTACCTGCACCAATTTTTCAAGTTTGTGCGATTTGGGTTAAACCAAACTGTTGAAAGGCTGACTCTCTCACCCTTCCGTCCGTTGGTCCAGGTCCAGCGCTCGAAGATTCGGTATTGTATTCACTGGAAAATCACCTAGATATAGCTCTTGCGAGCATGGATCTAAGTGTGATCGGGATGGTGCTTTTGCGCAAACATCTGTTGTTGGGAATCTCCTGCACCGTTGTGCGAATGAAAGGTCAGTGCCGGACCACTTCCATGACTCTCACAACCGCACGAACCATTCAAACAGTTTACATCACTTGCTTTGCACGTTTATATCGTTTTCTTGCCCCCCAAATGGTCCTCATCATGCGGGTTGCTTCATGTTTCTTGGAGCCCTCCCTATTAACCCCACGGTGCATCTTCGTCGGAGACCCACTCCAGCGGCGCTTGGCGCGACCTCCGGGCCTCATCTTCGGCCGAGCTCGGTGGTATCTGCGTAAGAGAGGCCCTCTTGGATGTCCTCTTGCAGGGTCTTGACCGCCTCAGCCCGATCGGCAGGACGGACGGCAGGACGGAGCGGACAGACATCGGAAGCTCTATAGGGCTCTGCCGAGCCAAATTTCCGTCGTGGGTGCCTTTTCCGCGGGTGCTGACCGTTCTAAATGCTTGGCCTCCAAATGCACCAGCAAAGCAGGGCATATCACACCAGCGCCGGTCCGAAACCTGGAAACGACGCTCAACCGGTCCTTTCACCCTTCGACACTGAAAACGCACTACCTTCACCACATCTCGTTTTGAACGCCCATTGAAAGGCCCAGACGGACCAAATTTGGAATATGAATTGAATTGAATTTCCGGAAAACCCTCTCTCCTTCACGACTTCGGTGGTGCAAAGTCAGTGTTTCACACCCAGAACTGCTCAGTGAAAACTCCAAACACCGCCAAAACACGTTCAGCCCACCCTATGGCGCGTGCGCACCCCCCCCTCCACAACAAAACCCATGAGGTTAGTCTCGATCAGCCGAGCGGCCAACTCCAAACGAGCCTTCTCTTTGGCTGTCATCTTGGGCAGCGCCTCCCAGGAATTCCCGTCAACGGACCACTCTTGACCGTGCTCCTCCATCCTGCCGTCCCGAAAAGTGGCCCTCCAGTCATACCTCCTCAGAAGGTGTTTAGACCCTTCTCAGAAGGTACTTGGAGGCCTAGGGACTGGGCAAAAAACATGAAAAAAGGAGGGTAGACGGCTATTGCTGTGACAACGAGGGTGTGGATTTCTTTGAGACACCGCTGGTGTGATGTGGCCCTCAGGTCCATGTTGCTGAGAAGTCGGCCGCGTCCTGAGGAGCCCGGCATGAGAGAGAAAACAAATAGCTGCGCAATTCGCCGCAGTGGTGCAATGCCAAGAATTGCAATGCCAGACACACACAGAAAAGGCAGGGGAAGTGTTGATGCCCGAGGTGAATGTGATGGAGGCGAGGAGTGTCGATGCTCTTGCAAATTCACCACAAGGGGCAAGGGGAGCGCTGTTATTGGATGTTAAATCACCGTATGCTGCAAAAGCCACCGTGAAAGTAGCTGGAACAAATGCAGTTCTGTATGCTGCAAATCGTGTGCTCGCATTGTTTCATGATGCGGGGTATGCACAGAAACATCTTCTCAGAAGGCAAGCTTGGGTGAGTGGAGCAGTGAATGGTGACGACACACACACACAGACTTACACGACCCAAACACTGAGGAGAGATCATGCGGGGAGGTTGCACTTGCAAATTTTTAGGAGCTTGAGGAAGCAGTAAGTAGAAATTACGAGAAGGCAAAATGAAGTTTGGCGAAACTACACACTGCCATATATGCACCACCAACAAAACAATGAGAAGCTACCCAGCTGCCTCTGTGGAACAACATATACAGGAATTCGAGAAAACCACAGTTGTAACTCGAGGTGCTTTGTTGAATTCATCTGCGGAGAGGCGATTGGCAGCAGCCTACCCATCTGCAGCGCCCTACCCATTGGTAGAGTCTGTTTGGAGCCTTCAGGACGAAGACCGCAGCCAATGTGAAGTAGGCAGACCGGCTGACATGGAAGGGGTCACGTGAACCCACTATCGAATTACATGTGCATTTCTTGCACCAAACGCAGCACTTTGCAAATCATACTGCTTTGATCAACAACAGCCTTGGCCAACGAAACTGCAGCCTCTCCGCCCATCTTTTCTTGGGTTTTAAATTGCCCAGAACAGCACGCCAATTTTGCCAGGTGCGTTTTCACAATCTTGGTCCCAAATAGCTTGCGGTGAGGAGAGTTGCTAGGTCTATTTGTTCAGTGACCTTTCGCGCGGAAAACTGGGCTAAGGGGACCTTCTCTGCTGTATAGGTCACACATTTGCCAAGAATTCTCCATCACTGTTCGCTCTTCTTCTTGTCTTCCTGCTCGAGGTAATTCTCTGACAAGCGACACAGCTCTTTCACCTTCTTCTCAATCCGGACCCTTTCGCGCTCTTCCAATACTAGCCGTTCCAGACCCTTCAGATGGAAACGCTTGCGGCCCAGCTGAGTTCCACTTTCCAAGCAACAAAGCCAGAACTTAATCTGAAAGCAATTCCAAACAGCAAAGCTGTTGAGAGAAAGCCGAGTTCCTTGCTAAAAGAGGCGATCCAGAAGTCAAAATGGATCGGGGCAAACACGAAAGTAGGTTTTCTCTGCGTGTTCTTCCGCAGAATCGCTTCACCATATCTGTGTCACTCTGCATCTTTGTTCAGCTTGCTTTCCTGTCGCAGTCACACTGTGCTCTTGCCAACTGCAAACAGATCTGCGAGTTGCATCGTGTGTCTCTGATCTTCGACTTTGCCAACTGAACGTGTGGGGCCTGGTTCCCAGGCAGGACTCAAGCCGGCATGGTGGGCAAACGAAAAGCCATCTCACCAAGACGGCGCTCCCTGCTCCTTTCTTCATGCCAAATGGTCATGCTCTCGCAAGCGTGAAGTCGTGGGACTGGACGATGTCCCAAATCATTTGGGCATGTCGCCGTGGTCTCCAGTGGCTTCTGCCTGTCGGCAGCCTGTCTCCAGTGGCTTCTGCTTCAATGTCCGATCTCCGACTTGCCCATGCTCCACGTGCCTCTCCAACTCCATGTCTTCTGTAGTCTTACTAACCCAAACACTCCATGGGACTGCCATACATGCCTACATTGACCCCCCAAAAGACCCCAATGTAGGCGAATATGGCATACATTGATGGAGTGTCTGGGTTAAAGACATGCGCCACTGCTGTTGCTTTCGGCTTAGCCTGAGCCGCCCGAATAAACACGCAGCGAGCAAAGAGATGCACAGCTCCTCAGTCTACCTGACCGGTCATCTCCTTCATCGCCGGTCTAAGCTTGGCCCCCTTCTCAGGTCCAATCACTCGAGACCATAAGACCTGATGTGTTCGATCAGGCCTGACCAAGAACACCCGGACCTGGACCGTTCGAGATATCTATAGCTATACCCTAGGGCTCCAAGTACCTCCTTAGAAGGTATTTGGACCCTCTAAACCCACCCCAAACACCTTCTAAGAAGGTCCTTGGAGCCCTAGGGATAGCCAGATTCGTGGTGATTCGGGGTGTCCAAAAACCACGGGACGAATGGAACCGGTCCTGGTCTGGACCCCTGGCCAGTGCGAACGACGAGTGAAACAGCACCAGGTGAGGACCTGGCCTCACCGAAAACCACATGCTGACCGGTTCTCCAGGGTGGAGGGTCCTAAGGACCGTCATGGAGGAAACCACCTGCAACATCAGCAGGTTTCACTGAGTGCAACAGCAAAAATAGGTCTGAATCTGCGCTGCTCGCCTCGCATCAACAGGTTTTGCACCGCCAAAAGCATCCGGCGTCAACACATGCACGGCTATTGGCTATACCTCGCAATCTGTCCAAAAAGAGACGTTCGTTTCCTCCACGTTCGGATTCGGACTCCACGTTCGCTTCTCGGATCAGACTCGAGACTCCGAAGGGTCGCGAGACTCTTCACAGAAGAGTTTGAAGAATGGGTGAGATTGGGTGAGTTCATCTAATCGTAAAATTTGGATGAAGTCACCGCCCTGGATCCAGTCGGACCTTCTCGGCAGGTGAGGACGGAGACACCGCTATGTAGGTGCCAGGAGGGTACTTGGATATCTAGGGATGTAGTAAAGGGTCAGTCGAACTCTTCATGTCGAAAGACTTGTGGACCACCTTCATCCTTATTCGTACCATTTGCCACTCGATCCACCTTGGACAACCCCGGGCTCTCGCCCGATGCACGCCCGGTCGACCACCTCACCAGATCCCTTACGTCACGCTCGGCGGTCGCCCTGCCTGCACCTCCTCGACACCCTTGGGGCCAAAGATCACCTCTACCGACGCTGAAACACCCGCGGTGGTTGGTTCACCGGAAACCGGAAACCGACGACAGAGCGAATAGCACGGTTCCGATCGACTTCGACGAATTTTCTTGCGGGAATCTTGGGTTGGGACTTGGGAACTCTATGGGTGGTACCTGTCAACACTCCAAGGGATTGGGATGCATGTCCTAGTTTCGGCAGGAGACAGCTGGAGGGTCCAGACTCAATCCAGTTGGGCCAGTTTCCTGGTCTCCCAATGGCCCAGGCGTTGCGTACAGCGAGATTGCTGAACATCATTCCTGACTCAAAGTGCTCTCGAAAGTTCGTCCAAGGTGGTCTCCAGAAACAGACAATCGATGCCACCACGCACACGTTTCAAGCCCATTCTGAAGTGAGGAACTGGAAACCTGCACCTCAAAGTGGAAAAAGACCTCCGTCAGGCGGAGAAGGGTTTTCCTCAACATTCATGCCCCAACCACCATGGTGCGTGGGCTCACGATATGAGCAGGTATCCTGCGGACTGGAGTGACACCCAGCCCAAGTCACAAAGCACAGGTCAATAGAACAGATCAAATGAAGGAAATCCCCAAACAGCCTGGACCCCACTCCACTCAAAGGCCCCGTTTCTTTTACTGTCAATATTTTGAACCCATGGTCCTTCATAGTTGTTGACGGCCTTTGCCCTTCTGGCGAAGGACATGTCTTCAACAGCTTGATACCCATTCACCCTCTTCTGGGGCAGTTTTTGCCGGATGATCTGCACAAGAAAAAACGATTCCAATCGTCACAACACCAGATTCGACGGCTTGATGGTGGATGTCTTCCTTCCTTCGAATGATCCAACCCACGTGTTCATCCAACCCAAAATTCGGACCCATCACAAGATTCCCAAGCGAACGCTCCATGGGACTGCCATAGGACTGCCGAGAAACGGCCAGGGGTGGTGGTTTGGAGGGTCTGTCTGGGGCGGCAGTCCGTCCTGGCAGTCCCAGACAGGTCGTGTTTGGGCGCTGCCATTGACACCTCATACCCATGATCATACCCTACAGGTCGACCTCATTTGACTGGAGTGTCTGGGATGTGGACACTCAAACCAAAACACAGGACGAGCTCTGCACGCGAACCGCTCCGCTCCGCTCAACTCCGGTCCGCTCCGTTCGCACCTCTGAGGAGAAATAGTCAACGCCAGGGCAAACATCCTGAGAGGGAAATGCGTACTCATAAACCCATGGAAGGGAAATAAAGCACCAAACAGTAGACCAACTGTGTAGGATATGACGATAATAAGTCAAGGCTGAAGCCCAGAAACAAAGTGAAGTTTTTCTTCCTGATAGTCTTGGGAAGGAAGAACCACACATTGTCACATTGTACCACCTCTTCTTCTTGACTCTCCGGTGATCCACGTTCTCCCCCAAAAGCTTGGTGACTTGCCGGTGATCCACGTACTTTCTGGGTCAATCACACGGGACCACCCATGCTACTCCAAAAAGAAGAATGACCACCGGGTGTTCTTCAGCCTCCTGGAACTGAAGCTGTCCTCCCAAAAAGCAAAACAAAAGACAGGCCCAGAAGGCCATGGAAACGAAAATAGGATGCAAATGCTCTGTCACTGTCGCAAGGTGCTACCTTTGCCTGGTGGGCCAGTGTCTGCTTTACTACTTTGGATTGCGTACAGTTAGAACCTTGGCAAGTCCTTCGTTTCCGAGTTCTCTGATTTCTCTGTAATTATATACATCAAAACAACAAACTCATAAGACAGTATCTGTGCAGCGAACGGCAAACCCATGCCCGGATAACCAATGCAGTGTTGTCGCATGAAAGCACCTAACAAGAAGAATTGGGTGGTCGGTGCATCCAAAAAAAAAGTTTTTGCTGATCAAGCGTGCTTTTACGTAAGAATCCTGTGACGCACTAAGGTTTTCGGTCGACTGGAGATACCTAAGAGCAAACGATGGAAAACGTTCACATCAATTAATATGTTGCCTCATCAAAGGATTCTGATTGAAGTTGACCAAACATGAATCTGCATGATTCTACTAATCTTCCCTGAACAAACTTCATACAGGTCACACTCAGTGGTTTCTCCCACCCCACCCACACCCACGACCGTCGCGATTTATTACTAAATAAAATAGACCTGATACCATCTAATACCTAGGTGGTGCACGACCAGGGGTATCCCCTCTATACTTATCAACCAACCAAGCCTTCGGCCCGACTGGTCAACCGCCCCGGCCAAACGCCCCTTCCACCGGACGCCCACGGTCAGAGCCCCTCTTCCACCCAGGCGGCGGTTTTCAGGAAGGCGGGCTCTGCGCATCTGGCGAGCGTAAACCGGCGTCGCGTTTTCCGGCGGCCCGAGCGCGGTGGACCGTCGACGGGTCTTGGGTCTTCTGATGGGTTTTGTTCCGTTCGCCAACAAAGGCCAAGGCGCAAACGAAGGATGGCGCGAGCTAGGCTATTGAAGGAGGTGGTGCAAACGAAAAGGTCAAAGTGGATTTGTCATTAACCTTGAAATACCTTGAAATCATGGCCCAGACCCAGAGTCGAAGAAAACAACATCCACCAGTGCAAGGATGTTTGGATTGGCTTTTGTACCAGTTCTCGGGCAACTCGGGCCAAACCACGAAGCATCCACGAGCGTTAAAGCGTTGCCCGCAGCGGAACCTGCAGGATGACTTGGTCCAACCCCAAGACACCACGACGTGAGGTTGAGACATGTTGAGACTCAATCTGTAACAATCCATGGGACTGGAATATCTAGCAACATTGGAGTGATTTTAAGCGATTGAAGCCGTGTTTTACGGTCAATGCAGGTGAATAGGCCAGTCCCATGGTTTGGGAATCATCAGTCTGAGGGACGACTTTGTGGACTGCAGGCTGTTAGGACTATTTTCCCTCACAGCACTGCTGGACTTTACACATTTCCTTGGCCGCTCGTGCTCGGCCGCTCGGCCGCTCCGCTTGCTCGGCCCGCCTCTCACCCGCCAAGCCACTGAGCACGGCCTGCGCCAAGCGCGCGGCCGCATAGGCCTCGTACAGTGCGTCGTTGGACGTCCGGTGTGGTCGGACAGGGGCAGGCCGATCCCGTTCGGCAGATATCGATTATGTTTTGGGCAACCGCTCCAGATATGGAATTTCTATATGTGTTTTTTTTTCAAGAGCTCTTCATATAGGTGGTTGACAGGTCATCAAGAGTCTACATGACACATCTTCTATGATTACTTTCTCCCAGCCACCTCTAGGATTCTTGGCCAATCCGCTGAACCCCCAAAGGTGAACCGGCTGACCAAACTTTCCACCTATTCAAGGTGACCAGGGGCTGCAGCACATCACTGGATGGGCAAAGAAAATTCGGCAGGGACGGGTTATGCATGTGGATTAGTCCCAGCTTTCGAGGATTCATGCCCATATATCTAAACAGGCTGGACTGGATTGTGCACAAACTCAAGGATAATGCAAGATTAAAATGTGTCAGGATCAACTTGTTACACGCAATGCTCATGCTCAGGCTGAACATCTGCACCCCACCTGGGAAGTGTGTGTGGCAGCCACTTCACCCTTGTATCCAGAAAAATATGGCAAGCTTGATTCTGAATATGATGAGGAATTGCCAAGAGGGACTTTTGAAGATCAGCTCGCACTTGCTCGTAGCGTCGTAGCTCTCGTGTAAGTCAACGCATTCTCGACAAGAAATGCCAGTGGCTTTCTCACAAAGCACTTCACAAAGCTTGATCTTGTCACTCCACCACTTCACCTTCTCTATACATGTGGCTCGGTTGGCCAATCTTTGGCAATGAATGCAATAGTGGGCTCCATCCAACACAAAGCCTCTTTCCTTTTCGCATGTCACAGACCGGACCAGTGGAGCGTCATCTTCCTCAGGGTCTGGAAGAGTCACTGGAGGAGTCTCGCAAAGTGTGTTTCTATATCATTACAGTTCGTTGCCGTCAGCACATCTGAGAAAGTTTTTTCTGGCTGACAACAAACTAGGCTGGAAATTTGCGCCCAAGATGACCTCTGCGAGGCCCACCGCGACCTCGCGGTTTGCAGTGTTGCGAGCCACAACTTCAGGGCAAGGTCGCTCCATAACAAGTCCTGCAGCCCCAGCGACACCAGGAATTGCTACTGCCGCGCCAGCACGCACTGGCACACGCTACGTCTTGTACATATCAACAACGCCAGTGTGCGGCATCTGGCCTGGCACTAATTGCGCCTCTGCAGCTGGTGTGCTATGAGCCACATCGCCCAAGTCTGCCAGGAGCAGAGAGTGGCCTCCAAAGTTGATGTCCATGATGTTGTTGTCAACCAGTGCACTCCACACCGGAGACACGTCCAAATTCGCGTATCCAGCCGGGATGGCCCCCAGATTGAGCCGCCGTCTGAGGGCGGCGTTGGCAATGACGGCGTAGCCGTTTGGCATGGGATGGAAGCTTAATAAGCATCAGCGCCAGCGCAGCGTCGCCTAACTTCTTGATGTCCTGCATCTTCTGTTCCATTAGAGCTTCGAGAGGTGTCCTTTCATCATCACCATCATCATCATCTTTCATGGAAGCGTTTGCTTCGAGTTCGTCAGCAGCTTCAGCCGTGGAACATCTTTCCTTTAAGGCGATATTAATATCAAGTCCCTAAGGTCGACGAAGATCTTTTGAGCAGCATCTTTGTCCAGTTTGGCCCATAGAGTGTGGTCCTCTAAGATGAAGCGAAACTTTTCGAAAGAGGATTTTCCTCCTCCAAAATGTTCGCTTTCTATAATGACAATCTCAAGGCGTGGCGCATCCTTTTTCAGCTTGTGATGTCTCCTGATTTGTACTGAAGACTTGCGTGAGAGGACCTCAAGAACAACCTGATAGTAGCCACAAGCATCTCGCTCCTATATCTCGCTTTGTCCTAGCTGCTTTCAAGCAAATTCCTCTCACCAGAGAAGTTGATTCCGCAGAAAAGAAGTTCTCTATCTTCAAACAGCTTCCCATGGCAGAATCTAGCAAGGTTTGGCAACATGCATGGTTGTTTCAGGCTCGTCTTTGCTCAGTGCTAGCACCAAGTCAGGTACTTCGGCCAACAAGGTCGACCAATTTCCAAAGGGGAATGCTGAGCGATGCTCATAGTCTTGAATTTAGCACTCTCCAGCTTGGTGAGTACGAAATAGTACGACATGGACAGACAACTCATCCAAGGATTTTGGACGTTGGTCGGGTCGCATAAGATCTAGAAGAATCTGAATTCTGGAATGCTAGCCAGAGTCATGGAATCTAACATCACATTTTTCATTCCTTAGGTGTTTTGTGGTCGAGGTGGCCCTGATTGAAAGACTTACAGCCTCTGGCATGCTCAATCCTCCATTTATTCTGTTATTTTGCCGCTGCTTCGAGATTTTTGGCAGGTTCGAGATCCTCACAGTAGAGACTTTGTCAGCCAGTATCCTATACTGAAGGACTGGGTCTGCAGATCCTTAATCGCGGGTATATAATTAATAGGGCACCATCCCTGTCTGTTGGTGCAATTCCCAATGACTTTTCGGCCCGGAATTCTTCGAAGCGATTGATCACCTTCACTTCAGATGCACTTTTCTTCAAGGCGTCTTTCCTTGCTTGGGTCGTCTCCACCTCTTCTATGAAAGCCCAACAGAGGTTCCTCTTTGAAAGTTCAAATCCCCTGGAGTGATAGAAGGAGGCAACCCAGATGCTTTCCGGCCTTTTTCGGCTAAGGGTAGAAGTCGCCGGAAGAATGATACACCGCCCAAAGAAGTGGCCCCTCCCACTAAGTAAGCTCCATGGGCTCACTTCAAAGAAAAGACGGTCTGTTGTCCTCACGGTCAAACCTGGTCTTCACCGACTTGTTTTTCACGGTCGGTAGAATCTACCGACGCCTCTCCTTCCCAAGTCTCTAACCCGGGCAACGTATCTCCTAACAGGTCGGTCCTCTCACCGAAAGAAAGGACTTCTTCCATGTTCAGCTCCCTGATCAAACCTACTCGCATCGGTGATTCCGTGCCCCCAATCTCTCTGCGCTCTAGTTTTGGATTTCAATTTGTCGTCCAAGTAGTCTTTAATGAACGAGCTGTAGACATTTTGAGGGGCACTCTTTCCTTCAGTGCAGGTCACCTTTTGCTTCTTGAAAGGAGGAACGCTTGGTTCCAGAAAAAGGTTAGAGTCTGGCTGTAAATTCCCAGCATCAGATGAGTATTCGATTGCATCTGCTTCAGGTTCTCACCCCAGTCGTGTCTTGGGTGTTTCGAGCCATGATTGCTGCTTGAGCCAAAATGGCTACGGGGGTTGGCCCCAATGCCTCTATTGTTAGTTTTTAAGGTTATCCACTGACTGATTACATCATTCCTCTGAAGCAAAGAGGAGTGACCCATCCTGGGAGTGACCCGCCAAGAGATATACAAGGGCCAGTCAGGTAGTAATTTGACTCTCAAGATCTATATACACTTAGAGGTGACCTCTTAAAATCTTCACATCTAAAGTCTATAGATGTCTATAGTGGTCTCATGTGGTCTCCTATCGTCCTGTCTCAACGGCTTTGTTGCATCGACTTCGCAGGGTCAACAAGGCAAAGGTCCGATTGCATCCAACAAAACCCAGACACCCCATGGACTGCAATATTCACCAATCAGTTGGGGTGGTTGATTTCAGGGGTGAATGTGGGCATATCTTCCAGTCCCATCGTGTCTGGGACATGTTTTGTAAGTCCCATTGCATTGGTGGAAAGCACCAGTCGTGAGTGGCTGGCTTCTCGGATGGCCCAGTCGTGAGCTGCAGATCCAAAACATGCAGAATCTAAGCGTCGTGAAGTGGAATCCCAGTATCAAAACACTTCAATCAATACTCTGTTGGGTGTATATATATATAACATATTTTAACTATTTATTTTCACCTCCCTAAGTCGAATTGCGGAGTCCCTTGTAGACACACAGTTCTATCTTTGAGCTGCCCGGCCATGGACAAGGTCGAGCTGCCCTTGCCTCTCGCCCCGGCGCGAGCGACGCAGTACTGCCACGGACGCAGTGGGTCAGACATCAAACAGGACGCGTACCTGGACCTTCCGACCATCGGGGTGTCCTGTCAATCAATCTCTCAGTGGGCTGGAAGGGCTGGAAGAGCCAGGTGGCCCCGAATTCGGAAGGCGCTGCATTCTGATTTGTGGCGTTTGCATATCGCCTAGCTACATATATGAGTTCTCCTATAGCTATTTCTATTTTCCCCACAGCCGGTGTTTTCATGCTAGGCAAAAATGAAAGTCATACCCGTTCAAGGAAGAAAGGTCGTATGGATTTGATCTTTTCTTCGGCTCCTGTGCTCAGTTTGGCTCCAAAAAGGCGTCGTGCATATACAACATTATACAACCATCCTGGAGGAAATAGAATATGAACCAATCCAAAAAACATGGCCAGTGTCCTATTGGCTTTAACCATTTCCCATATTCTATCTATATACTTCAGGATGACTATAGTATCATACTAATGAAAAAGCACATCCACATCTTGGTAGCTTCACAAACCCAAACTGTCTAGCGGAGTTTGGGTCTATCCCACTATACCAGCTTATATATGTATATAAGCGGATGATGATGGGGCCTCGTTGCAGGCCTTTCTCACACATAGTGATCTGTTACCGACTGTTGTAGGGAAAGCTGGGCTGCACCCGGGTACCAGTACCTTCTACAACATCGGTTGGCACCAGGAGCTTCATCGGTAGGGCCCAGCTTGGAGGGAAGGGGTGTCCAGAAGAACCACTCACCAGAGGTTGAAGAACCCTAGTTCGGTCCTATCCTAGTTCGACTATCCTAGGTGACGGGTCCTAGTTGACGGGTCACCTCACCTCTACACTGGATGGAATGAAACGCCCTTCCGACATGGAACTGCACCAGCACATGGCACAACACATGGCGCCGGACTGCTCACTTTCTGAGGGCTCTGAATCTGAGGGCCGGTGACCAAGCTGGCCCTGGATCTGACACACTCACTTGGCTCACAGTTGGCCTGACCAACAATACACCAAACTTACGCATAAAGCTAGAATCTGCTAGAATTACAGTAATTATACAAGCATAGACCCCAAACAGCTTCAAAATGATTCGTTTAGACCAATATCAGTCAAAAATCGATTTCTTGGTACCCCCTACTTTCACCCCGAGAGCAAACTGCGTCATCAATGAATTTTTGTCGGCATTGGCATCCCTATTTGTTCGGCCACACTCCTCTCCAGTAAGCCGGGCCACAGAGCCCAGCCACAGAGTTCAGGGGCGCGGCCAAGACAAGGACAAGAGGAGGACAAGGCCCAGCCACAGAGCCCAGCACAGAGGACAAGAGGAGGACAAGAGCCCAGTAAGCCGTCCATAGCACACGAGCACGCGCGCGCTCGCCCTGCTCTCTCTCTAAGTGTTTCTTTCTCTGTCTTTCTCTTTGCACAGCCGGCTCTGACCGCGCCTTTCTGGAGCGTGAGCGCGCCCGTCCATAGCACACAGGCGCGCGCTCGCCCTGCTGTCTCTCTTTATTTACTTCTTTCTTTCTTTCTTCCTTCCTTCCTTGCTTGTTTTCTTTCTTTCTGTCTTTCTTTCTTTCTGTCTCTCTCTCTCTCTCTGTGAGCGCCTTTCTGGAGCGTATTTCAGAGCGCGCACGAGCGCGCCGTCCATAGCACACGAGCGCGCGCGCGCTCACCCTGCTCTCTTTCCTTCTCTCTCTCTCCCGTTTTTTTTTTCTCTCTCTCTCTCTCTCTCTTTCTCTTTAAGTTTCTCTTTCTCTCACTGCAGAGCGCGCCCGCGCGCCCTGCTCTCTTTGCTTCTCTCTCTCTCTCTCCTCTTTAAGTTTCTCTTTCTCTGTCTTTCTCTCTGCAAAGCGCGCTCTGAGCGCGCCTTTCTGGAGGGCGAGCGCGCCGTCCATAGCATGCGCGCGCGCTCGCGCTGCTCTCATTCTTTCTCTCTCTCTCTCTCTCTCTCTCTCTCTGTTCTTTAAGTTTCTCTTTCTCTGTCTTTCTCTCTGCAGAGCGCGCCCTATGCGCGCCTTTCTGGAGCGTATTTCTGCTCTCTGTCCTTCTCTCTCTCTCTCTCGCTGTCTGTCTGTCTGTCTTTCTTTCTTTCTTTCTTTCTGTGTCTCTCTCTCTCTCTCTGTCTCTGTCTGTCTCTGTCTGTGTCTGTCTCTATCTGTCTGTCTCTGTCTCTGTCTCTGTCACTGTCTGTCTCTGTCTCTGTCTCTGTCTCTCTCTGTCTCTGTCTGTGTCTGTCTCTGTCTGTCTCTGTCTCTGTCTGCGAGCCGCAGAGCCCAGCCACAGAGCCCACGCAGCCCCGCAGAGTTGACAGCCCGGCGCGCCAAGAGGACAAGAGGAGGACAGGGCCTGGGACAAGAGGAGGACAAGGCCCAGCCACAGAGCCCAGCCACAGAGTCGACAGAGTTCAGGGGCGCGGCCAAGAGGAGGACAAGGC